TATCTGTTCCACCTGTACGTCGTGGTCTTGCAGGTCTAGGCGTTTCCTTAGCCTTATTTCTTGTACGCATTCTCCCTGGGCTATCTGGTGATTCCGCAGGCACAGGGCGGAATAAATACGGAGGTGCAGGCGGTAATTCTCCAGTCTTCTTTAAATGTGTCCTGCATTCCGTACAAAGCAATAACCTATCCTTGCCCGCTACCTGATAATCTTTCGAATTAGTTGAAAAACAATGTTGACACGAATGCGCGGCCCCGTTAGTGTTTGTGTCCCTGGAATCACTGTCTTCTTCCGAATTATCGTCCTCTGTCACAGAACTAATTTCCCCACCAGGATTATTACTCGCCGGTGTCCCAACAGGTACAGTTTCCTGTTCTGAAACAGGCTCCTTCTGATTGACACTAGCTGGAGGAGTATCTTTGGGCGGAGTTGGAACTTCCTCTTTGGGAGTGCCGGCGCGTGAATTACGAGTGTTACGAATCCTCCTAAGCGAACCCTGTCGTCTTCTTCGATGAGGTCGATTATTATTCGCTCCTGGAGTTTTCTTCCATAAATAGTAGAATTCAACCAATTCCGGCTAAAAATAAAAGGAAAGAAGCTTTCCTATCACTGCTATTCTTTAGCCACACTTTACTTTTGTGTAGGTATTCGTTACCGTGTCTTTATGAGGTAAAAGATCCTTTCTAATCCTTGAGAAATTTTTTCCAAATTGCCGAAGTCCTTTGACGAAGCGTTTCTACGAGACAGATCGACGATGAATTAATTGTAGGTCTGACCTTTCCATTCCAGTTATGAAATCACACACGTATAATGGTGATAACGAGGCTACTTGATCAATTTTCCTGGTTTAATCGTTTCTACTTACAGTTTCCTCCTCGGACCATTTTTTATCGATGCCTTTAGGTACAGGACATTTAACCAAAGCTTGTAAAGCTCTTCCTGGGTCATAGCCAGAGTCGTGCAAGATATCCAGAGCATTGATAGTTGTATCGTCACGGGAAGCAGCCACACAACCGTCATCGGGGGATCCTCCATCACACATACCAGCAAATGCAGCCATAGAACGAGCTGCCCTCAAGTACATCAGAAGATCCCCGTCCAATGCCATAGCTGGAATCCATCTTAGCTCCTCTCGTTCTTTAGAAAACTCTGGATCAGGAAGCAGCTCTCCAGGAGGTATACCCGGCCGATACTCAGGCAAACGGGCCTGACAAGAAACCAATTCCTGTACCCAAAATTCGGGATTGTGCGTGGTTAGCACCAATGCCAAAGCGAGTTAGTTGTACGCACCTATACTCCGGCTTGCTTTTCGAAACTACACGAGCCAGTATAATTTTTTTCCATTCTGTTCCGTTTGTTATAATACTGGTACGAGAAGTAGCGTGAGTACTTTTATATTTGTGTACAAACTAATGATCATAAATAGACGTATATGTGTGTGTATGTATATATATATATATATTAGTATATATACTATAGTATATATTATGTGCGTATGTGTATATATATACATATATACATTATATATATATATATATATATGAAAGCATGAGAAACAAGACAAGTTCAAAATGATATATGATTATTATACCCAAGTGAAAACATGTACATTTAACAATTAGTCATGTTCATGTGCATACAAATTAAAGCTAATCGTTAATCTGCACGCGAACAAAAAGCACATTCACATAATTTTTTCTGGTGAACAGATAAACATGAATGGAGAAAATTACAACTAATAAGTGAAAAACAATTATTTCACAAACGAATATAACACGATGTTTACAAAATGTGAACAAAATATAATAAAAGTGAAAAATGTCTCAATTATTTTAATTCTATATACATCTCCACAAATTTCCTAACTTTAATATCTCATAGATGGTTCAAGTAACCAATGGGTTATTACATAAAATTAAAATATTTTGAATTTCACCGTGACTGAAAACCACTATAAATATAAAGGTAATCTTACACTTACACAATATTATCCTATAAATTATTGATAGAATGCTTCATCATAATAACTTTCATCATATTTAGGGTCTTCCAACAAGAGTAGTAATCTGAGGGATAGTACTTGTGATGTGATCTGAGTGTTGTGGCTGTACTGTTAAGCAAAAAATTATTATTGTTGTGACTTAAAGAATAACTATCATTGTTATTTGAACCATCGGCATACAACAAAGCTGTATGAGGAATAGGTAGGTATTTGTGCTATTTAATATTTAATACTACAATCTTTCTTTCAATGTCTATAAATACAAAATGGATATTAAGATTATAATTGTTCAATGAAAATTTTTTCTATGAGTATAACTTCAAGCACTAAGAAAATATTTGTTATCCGAATATTCTAAAACTGTAACTAAGTACACGCCATGCATTTTCTTAACAATTCTTGAAAATAATATGACTGCATTGAATAGCATTGCAAAATAATTATAAATTTTTATGAAATCTACCCAAGTATATCCTCATTTCTATATGTTTATTTTTTATAAAGGTATTTAAATTAACTGGGTACTTAAATATTTATAACATATATGAATAGTATTTATGAATTATTAATAACACCTAATGTACACACGATAAGCTATTCTAGAAATAAAATTTCAATGTATCAAATAAACATTCCTTAATGAATATCTATTAACTTAAAAATTAATTGTTTAGCTTATTTAATTCACACATGTTAAGATAGTACGTACATATTGTTACTAATTATACAGTTTCAAACATCTTTGTTTTTTACAAAGTTGCTTAAAACTACAAGTATTTTAATACCTTTTGAACAATATACACATACCTAACAATGTAGGTAACAATCTGAATACTGTCCTAATTTTAGTTACATACAAGGGAAGAATGAAATACATAAATGAGGAGCAATTACCATTGAACATATTAGGTATTGTGAAAAAAATGATGTCACAATTACCTGGTGCTTCAATGATGAACTCTGCCTTATCTATACATTCAGAATACACATTTCAGGAGAACAAGCCTTGAGTTAGGTACATTGTGCAATATAGCTAAGTAGCAAAAAAGGTTTTCAAGGTATATGGCAAACCTGGTGCGAAGGGCCAACCCGAATCTCGCCCTGGGTGCCGGCAGACATCTCCTCCTCCTCCGAAGCTCCACCGTCTTTCTCCAGTGTTTCAAGTGGCTTCTATCTTGGATTTTCAGTAAATTCCTATCATCCACCCCCTGAACTATATAGTCATTCTATCAGTATATTATAATAACTGCTTAAGAAAAAGTACTGCTAACATGCTTCCTTTTTTAATAATGACCCTTTTTTTCTACTATGATGTCAGTTATTATGGTATTACATTTCATTTATTTTCAAGTTACATTATCTTTCCTATTCAAAGTAATAATTAACATATATAAACAATACTCTTAAGATTTAAAAAAAATTGTTGTGATATCGTATCATTTTCTTTTGAAGCACCTTTTTCTGTGTACCTTCTACTTAGTATATCCTTAATGGCTTTATTAATTTTTTATAAATAAAACTAAAATATTTCTAAGTTATAAACTAAAAGATACAAATAAGAAAATTGTCCTATAAAAAGAATAAAATGTAACTATCAAATATTTATTTAAAAACTATAACTATTGATTTGTTTGATTTATACCTCAACAAAAGATAAATTTATATAACACAAACAAAATTTATGAAATATACGTGAATAAAATCCTGAAAAAATTAACTGTTTCATTTATACAATCATTAAAAAAATCATATCTATGATTTCTCACAATCTCACGATTTACAAAGGAAACTAAGTACGTGTGATAACCCATCTTAACACTCTAGCAATTACATATTTCTACTTTCTTTAAGTGGTCTTGAGTCACGGTGAAAGCGGTAGTCGACATAAATGATTTTTACATAAATCGAAACGCTTTATCGTTATCCTAACGCAATTAAAGCGTGCCAAGGAGCGATGGACATCGTACAAGTTTTCATTGACTCATCGACGTGCAATGTGAAGATACAGAAAAAAACAGCTATTTACACAATTTCGTCATGTATGCAGAAAATATGAAAGGAAAGGTACGCGTATGAGATTTTAAGCAGTAAGTCAATTATTAAATGGTTTTATTAGATCGCAGGCTATGTACTCAGTCTTTTCGTCACATCGCACCTCGTCCTAGAGGAATTCTAAGGAGCCGTTAAAATAAAGTGAAAAGCCATAAAATTTCAAGGCAAACTCACCCGTGATTAATGTTTCAACGACGTGTTCGCATTGTTCCTCCTAACGCGACTCGCTTCAACACATATGCATTATACATAAGCCCAATTATGCCGATAGATAAGCGATAGAAATTTAACGATTCACTATGAATTAACCATCGAGCACTATAGAATATCTTACACAAATCAGTAGCCACAACACCCAAACGCAGCCATCTTGTACTGCGTTTTGTTTCGTTTTTCTTCTGTGGGGGTGCGTTCCGATTCCGTACATTCCCCTATTTCTTTTTCATAATTCTTTCGTGGTGGCAATTTGAAATTTCGAAAATAATAAAATTATATTCTATTTCAGAGACTTATTAGTAGAGAGTTATTGTCAAAAAAGTGAAAAATTATATATATTTAACTCATGTTGATAACTTCATTTAAATATACAATCTGAAACAACTTTGTTCAAAGTTCATTAACATTCTAAGTTAAAGACTATATATATTTTTTTAAATATTTTTTTTAATATCTTTGTATACTTTCTAAATATATCCTTTCATATCTCTTCTTTGCTATGTAATATTAACAATAAAAATAAAACATCATTTTTTGTCATAAAAAAATAATTTCTTCTAAGTTTAATTTTGTGATACTTATTTATCGCGTATAAAATAAGAAAAACGTATAAATAACTGAAATGTTTACCTAAAATCATATAATTGTACTATTTAATATTACTAAACACCAATAACCGACATGCAACATAAATTATCTCTTCTCATCTCTTATATCTACATATGTCTGTACTACGTCGTGTTCTTCCACGTTTTGCGCCTACACTTGCATAATTTCTACGGTTTTAAATTTGAACGTAAAATATACTGTAAACATGGCAAAAAAGTCGGCAATTTTGTTGATAGCTAATGGTTCTGAAGAAATGGAAGCCGTAATTACAACGGATGTTTTACGTCGAGCTGGTGTATGATTTTTTTTATTATATATAACCTTAAATTGTACATTTATTCTTTATATTTATATATTTATAATCAAAATTTTTTTGTTAGATTGATGTTACTGTTGCTGGCCTTACTGAAGATCTATGTGTTAAATGCAGCCGTGATGTAAAAATATGTGTTGATGCAAAACTTCAAGATGCAGTTAATCAGAAATATGATGTTGTGATATTGCCTGGTGGCTTAGGTGGTTCTAAAGCTTTTGCAGCTGTGAGTAAAATTACAATTCCATTAATGAATACAAACATTAATTCCCTTTTTTGTGTGTAATAGTCTGCAGCAGTGGGAAAGTTGCTTCAAAAGCAAGAAGAAGAAAATAAAATTATTGCTGCTATTTGTGCTGCACCAACAGCATTAAAGGCTCATAACATTGCAAAAGGAAAACAAGTCACATCTTATCCTGCAATGAAAGATCAATTGACAGATTATTATAAGTATTTGGAAGATAAAGTTGTAACTGATGGTATATATCTAGTATTAGTATAAATTTTATGTCTTATTAAAAATATTTTATTTATAATTATATTTTACATTTTAGGTAACTTAATTACTAGTAGAGGTCCAGCTACTGCATTTGCTTTTGGTTTGGCTATTGTTGAAAAATTACTTGATAAACAAACAGCGGATAATGTAGCAAAAGCAATGTTATATACTGAATAGAATAAAATTAACCCCTACGTAAACATGTAATGCATAAAATAAGCATATTGTACTAATAATATATCATTGTATTTATACTATATAATAAAATTTAATAAATTAATATTACATATTATACTTATAATACTTTATTTTTCTCATCTCCTACATTTTTCAGCGCTTGAATATATTTGAATTCAAAATACCCGGGTACTCTTAGTATGGTTGCCATTTTGATCAAATTTCTTGAAGTTTACCATCTTTATTATTACATACCCAATGATTCAAATATTTTACAAATTATAAATATCGATACAAAATATGCTGTTAATTACTGTATGATCTTACCTATTGCTGTATTAATTGTTAAAAAGAAAAAGAAACGAACGTTGTTCAAAATTAAAAATACCGTCAATATAAAATTCTAATGTTTGAAAAATGTTTGAAAGTGAAGATTGGGATCTTGATCAGGTAAATAAAAAAAAAATTTTTGTGAAAAGTTTACGTCAAATTGTATAATAATTGTTATTTTGTTGAATTATTAATAAGAATAGTTATTCTAAATGAGATGTTATTTGTTTAATAAAACACGATGTTCCACTAGATCATACAAAAATTACAAAAGTAATTTTTAATAAATAATTTTAGGAATTCCTAAATGATATAGATGACAAAACAGTAAAGTATTATTCTCAAAAGGACATTCAAGAAAGTGAATCGAAACGACGTAAAATAGAAATTAATGATGACTCAATTCTTTTATCTAACTGTGGTTCTAAAGAACAAAATAACATTAACAAAACTGCAGTGAAACATGAAAGTAAAAAGTCAAGAACAAATTTAGTTCTTGAAATATTAAATAAAAGTGAACCAAATGAAAATCTATTTAATGGTAGATTAAATAAATTGGGATCATACGATAACCATTCATCAAATATTCATGTGAACTGTTTACAAAGTTATGAAAATAGTCAGTTACCTAGAAAAAATTTAGTACTTGAAATACTTAAAAACAAGAAGATAGAGGATAAAATTACAGAAAATAATACAAAGAATGTAGAATTAAAACAGAGCATACTTAAAATTAAAGATGAAGATGACATTAATGAAAAATCAAAGAATGTCATATTTAATAATAAAACAAGACATCAAATCTTTAAAAGTAATTCTGAAACAGAAAATAATTTAGTTAATGATGATTTCAAATCTAAAAACTTAAGAAAACAATTATTGTGTAATATGCTCCAGGAACAATCTACAGATAGTGTACAATCTAATCATAATATTACAAAAGACAGTTTCTCTGCAATCAAACACCCATTAATACAGTCTAATAGAAAGATGACACTAGTTAGAAAATTTCCTGGACCAGCTGGTTTGTTACCAGATGATTTAAACTTTAATATACCCTGTATTTCATATTTAAATAGTTTAGAAGAAAATGAGAAGGCAAATAAAGAAACTGATTCAAATAAGTTATCTGAATATTGTTCTCAAAATACAAAGAATTTATTCACAGAAGGTGCTTGGCAATTAATGTTGGATGATTTGCCACATGATTTTTTAAAGGGCCATGATATAGCTACTATTAAACAAACAGCAAACATGAATGGTATCAGTAGTACAAAAGTTGAATTTTTAGCAGGAATAATAGAACACATAGATTATAGTCACGATAATCCCCCCATTATTTTAAAAGATTTCACTGATAATATTCAAGGAATTGTACACAGAGATATACCACTTAAATATCCTGGTTTCTTAGAAACTAATGTTGTTGTACTTTTACATGATGTAGGCATTTTAAGAACATCTGGAACTTTTGTTTCAAATAAGTACCAAATTCTAATCTCACCTTCCAATTTATTAGCAATTTATACCAGTACGGGTACAGTAGAACGTACACAATATATGGAAAAACTTTTTGGAAACATTTCAGAGAAAAAAACAAAGACAGAAAAAAATATAAAAGAGGACTATATCCCTGCAATAGCAAATAGTCAATTCATTGTAAAAAACAGTAGTAATAGTAAGAAGCTAACAAATTTGAGGAAAGATATAAAAAATATAAATCAGAGAAATCAAAATTACTCTATAAATTTAAATGAAGCAGACAAAAATACAGATAAATCAATATATTTTGATAGTAATATATTCTTTTCAGTTTCATCAAATAATATTACAGATTCACAGAATCAAAAGAATTTTAATTGTTTAACATCTAAGAATTTAAAACATATAAAGCAAGAATATAAAAATCAGAGATCTATACAATCTTTAGTAAATGTGGAAGAAAATGCACAGGATGATGATAAAGAAAAAGCTAAAAATTTATTAAAAAGTATAAAAAAATTTACCTCGGATGTAAATAAGAAGAAACGTCTTTTTCATAATACTTCAATTTCAGAAACGAATGCTGAGCATTCTACATCAGTAAATATTTGTGATAAAGAAATAGAATCTCAAAGAATAAATGATAAATTATCTGAAAAAATGAATATTGATAAGTGTTCAGAGACAATTTGTCACAAAATTGTCGAAAATAAGCAAGAGAAAAATATATCTTCTATACGATCTAAATTATTGGAATTTAAAAACATGGATACATTAATTTCTTCAGAAAATTCTAAGGATAAAGTTACATTAGATTTAAAAGAAAAACATGGAACGCTCTCAGAAGAAAAGCTATCCGAAATTTCAGGTTCTATACATGATGTACTTGGTGATACCGAAAATGATTCTGACGATGAAATGTTGTCACAGTTGGATATGGACATCATTTTTAGCAATTATAATAACAAAAGTTAGGTATTTCTAAAACAATATCGTGAACAATTTAATTATCCGTGGAAGATCGCGGATAAAATTCAAGATTAATAAATTATATTTTTATATAAAAAATTTCAAAAGATTTATATTCATTTATATCATATTATCTAGATGATCTTTCAAGAACATCAAATAATGTAAATATTTATTATGCATTCCACTTTTTGTACAGTATAAATAAAAAAATAAATATATTTTTTATTTAAAACAATGTTAAAAATCTAATTAATTTCCAATATTTAACTAGTGCTTATTCAATAGTAATATGATAATATAGAGCACGTTAATGAAACTACAATGAAACTGATTCATCGTTAATATTCATGAAATATTTAATCTCTCACGAATTTATGTAAGGGTATATATATATACAAATTAGTCACTTAGGAATAAAATATTTAATTCATCAGTTGTTGTATCATTATAGCATTAAATATTTTATGTATTGTTATCTCATAGTTCAAGTTTCTCGACAATACATTTATTTTCTGATAAGCATCACTGCACCGACGTAAATGATAGCTTTGGCAATAAGAACGCTCATTCTTCTTTATTACTGAATAGCAATACAATCACTGATCGTAATCGGCACTCATTAATTTTAACTTTAAAAAAAAGATTTCAGATATTGTCAAGGATACATTTTGTGATGCATCGAATAATGAAATATTCTTTTATTGGACTTATTTAATTTTTTTCAAAAGCTTTAAAATTACGAAAAATATCAGGAAAAAAGTTAGCAAATGAAGTTTGAACATGTAAGCTCAATTTCTCTGACATTAGCCTGGATATTAGCCCTCGTCGATCACAAGCGTCGGATCAATAATCTAGAATTTTTATAGGTGAAATCTTTGCAATACGACCTGTGTATACGCCAATGAGGATATATTGGATCAACCTTGATATGCCCTGGTTATCCGATGGTACATCTAGGTGTATAATCGCGTGATTATGAAGTGCAATTTATTCGCATTAGTTACGTGAGACAGATATCTGCGGCACAATAAAATCATACAGTATATAAGAATCGGGTGAAAACGTAAATGAAAATTAGAGATTGCTTACTTTGGTAGGTAAGCCAAAAATCAAATCAGAAGTCCGATCTTACGATAAGAAAAAAATGAATACTATCTTCGTGATCATGAAAAATAATAATTTAAGAATTAATCCAATCCATTGTACTTTGCACTTTGATAAACAATTCTCCTTCTTTATTTTTATACTTTCGTGGCATTAACGAAATAAATAAATTTTTTTTTATCGAGAATTATCATTAGTAGGTTCATATCATATCAATATTATATTTAATCTGAAAAACGTTCTCTTAATTAGAACTTATGTTACAAGAAATTTGATCTTTAATCGTAGGCTTGTTGCAAGAACCCTCATCCAATTATATACTTGCGTAAGATTACTATAGAATCACGAGAATTTAAAATTATAATCAGAATTTCTCCGAAATTTATTTTGAAAGTATAAAATAATTTATTAATCTCAGACATACATCAATAAATTTAAGAAATTTTATCTTTTTTCCCTTTAACATAATGATTTATAAATGTTACATTTGTTTTTATAAAATCACATCAAAAATATTTTTATAGTAGTTTCATTCTTGATTCGAGTTCATTGAGTACGTTATTTTGTTTTTGCTACAGATATAAATTGCGCCACATATAAATTTAAAAAGCTATTCGGTAATCTAGAGTGATTAAAATAAATGCAAGACGCTAATCCTATAAAGGTATACAATGTAAACATATTGATGATATATGCATTTGAAAATATATTTTTCTTTTTTTTTTTTTTTTGGAAGAGGTTAAAGATCGAAATTTGTCATAATTTGTCATCGATTAGTATGATCCTTATCAATACTTGATTGATTAAGCATTCTATCTTTATATATGTTGTATATTGTATAAATGGAAATTTGTATTCTCAAAATATTTAAATAAAAAAATTAATTCTAGAAATATTAATTTCAGAAATTCATTTTTTGATTACTAATTGTAAGTTGATTTACTTGCAATATAATATTAACATAATTATATATTTGGAGCAACTATATTGTTTATTGCTTTATATTGACAACAAATCTTGCCGAAGTATCAATACATAAATGTTTATTGCTTTTATTCCAAACAATTTTCAAAAATCATTGATTATCAATTCTATCTGAATCTTACGATATAATGTAATAACATTAATGTCGCGTAATAATGTATTATGGTCAATAATTTTCCAGATTAATATCTGCAATCAGTAAGATTACCGCGAATGACAGTGACACATGTTAGACTGTGTGGCTCGAGATAAGGGATCATGGTGAAGATTCTTTGTTGAATACTAACAAACATAATGTATAACAATGCTATCGGGCATTTTCATGATATATTTCGCGCATCTCTTTATCAGGAATGTCACTGTTCGATAAATGCATTTCACACTGTGTATTTGTTCTATTTTATTGCACCTAGTTATAAGTTAGAAATGATTATTAGGACCCATACTTTAGCTAACTTATTCATGAGTGAAGTCAAAAACTGAAATTTTGATGATTACATACAAATTCTAAAATATTTTACATTGGGACAGCTGTGAGCAAGAACTTCCATAAATGATAGCAAATTGGATATGCTCATTTTTTGTCTAGACTAAGTTTACACAAATTTTTCGAATGTCCATTTGCGTCAATTTTGAATTTCATAATGATGAGCACTGTTTTTGCTTGTATTATTATTATAATTATTATTATTGTTATTGGTTTTTTAAGTGTTTTCTCGGCACGTATCATATTCAGGAATAATTCGACGTCATTCTGATTATTGTCTACAATGTCACGTTAATAATCCCTTATCGTCGTTAAATCATCATTGATAAGTGGAAAGCTTTAATTAAGGGAAAAATATTATAAATTAAATGAATGTTTTGCATTGAAATTAACAAGAAAAATACCATGGATATTAAATGATAAAGTTGGATATTTGAGTGTCAAAATAGAATTAGTTCCTTACCTATACGCTACCACGATGTCTGTGAGAAATTATGTCGTAAATAACGATGAAAGATAAAAAAATATAAAAATATTTAGAATAAAAATATGCAACCTAAAGAATATATTACGAAATTTAGAAAATTGTTTAGTAAGAGTACTGAAAATACTAATAATAATTATGATAATTATTGATATAATTATATTGCATGTTAACGTAATTATAGATATCAAAGATAATTATTTGGATAGATATTCCATGATAAATTAACTCTCATTACAATTTAAAATGATCACGTAACAAGTAATTACAAATTTAATTGAACAAATTATGTGATCAGAGGACATTCGTCTTTGTCGAATCACATGAAATGTTTTACAGAAGTGTTTCGTAATGAGATGAATGTATTACCTTGGTTGAGAGAAACGTGAAATAATAGTGTCATATATGAACTACATGAAAGTTTTATTAACGAGTAGATGCTAACTTCTTTATCCGAGTGTTTGTTAATGCATTATGAGTACGTATAATTTGCTGGTTCCATCACAATTCATCTTTTACCTAGAAAATAATCGCAAAACTAGAAAAGAAGTAGTAGACTCGAGTACGAATCTTTCGTCATTGTACAATCTATTAATAAGTGTATTCTTTTTATTATTTATACATATCTTTTTCCTATTACCCTTATTTGTTCTCCTTTGATTAAAAAGTAATTCATTATTTCAATGTAATATATAATACTGTATTAACAACTACTCAAATAAAAGAAAAAAGAAGTATTCCTTATATCTTTGCTGTACTTCCAATATACGTAAGTGAAAGATATTCTTTTATCGAATAGTGACGATATGGAATGTTTAAAGGAATTCTTATAGTACAACGTAATTGATGTATCGTGAAAAGTTATATCGTCAAAAAAGAAACTTACACGTTTGCGCTCTTGATTTGTTCAAATAATCATGTTTTTACCTGACCATTCGAGGAATTAGTTCGCTGGTCTGACGTAAGTCACATGTCGCTACGAGAGAAGTTAAATATCGACGTGCGATCTATCGGTAAGTTGTACCGCGGGAAAAGTGAGCGATTGTCGATAGGCACACAGAGAGGGGATAAATTCGTACAACAGAGTCCAGGAGAGATACAGAATGGCACAGTATAGCCGGGTGCGTGGCGCGAAACAGGTAGTGGTGCATTTGTTGAGATAATAGGTCACTTCGATTGATCAACTCCGTCTAGAATTTCACAATACAACTACGGAAACATTTAATGAACGTTTAATATCCCTTATTACGCTTCAGCGAATGAATATTATCGATTTTCGATTCGATCACGATTGAAGCATCGACCTTGTGACACTTCCTGTAACACAGCTACTTATTCTAATATTTGGGACGTCTGTTTTCAGTTTTTATTTCGATCTTGCTTTATGGTTCGTTATATGCAGTTGATCTATTTCAAAATTTTATCATAAATCGATTATTTCTAAGTACAGCGACTTTACGATATTTATTAATAATCTAGAACATAGGAAGAGGAATTATCATAAGATAAGCCAAGGCTGTACCTGTGAATCTTTTACGTTTTATGAAGATATAGCAGCGGTGAAAATTGCACGAATAAAAGTTCACTGGGAATGCACGGATTCGTGCACACTCCTTGGATTACGTTCCCGTGAATATAAAGGGATTCGACCAAGGAAAAAATTATTAAAAATTCGAGTAAGTGTCAATTCTTAAACTTTAAATATCTTGTACATTTTCATGTATCATTTTCATTAGAAAATAGGTAACATATAATAAGTAATGCAATGCAATTACTTGTTGCAATACCACTACTTACTAATAACTACTTTCGTCTATAATAAGTGGAAAGTAAGAACGTTTTTTGGTTTTTATCTATTTGTCGGTATGTGTTTTATTGAAAGCATATAATTAAAATAAAATACTTAAAACCATATAATATTTGAACAAAAATATTTCTACTACATTTCATAAATTAAACTTTCGTCCATTTTTTTTTCTTTTAGAATCTTCGACTTTTCTCGATTAATCAATTTTACCTTCAGCATAGGGTTCTTTATGGTTGTTCTACATAGCGCAATGATCAGTTTACTAACTTATCCTAATAACCGACCAAAATTAACTGGAAACTCCCATTCATAGTGAAAGTAGTTTAAATCATGAAAAGAAAGAAAAAGTTGTTTTTAAAATACATCACACCTCATCGAAAATTTTGCATAACCGATATTTTAGCCTATTTCTGTTTCGCTTTTGTTTTTTTTTTTTATACATATATATATACTTTACAGATCACTGATTTTTGCGAAAGAACAAGTTACCAACGATCCAAACTTGCGGGTTTCGCGTTATGCAATATCTTGTACCTAAAAGTGTAGAAACACGAGTTGAATTTCTAATGACACCATGCATAACACGGTCTAGGAATCTTTCATGACACACATTTCACAACAAAATGGACATTGCCTGAAACCGATAATGTTTATGCATAATAAAGCAGGAAAACCAATACGTATACAATATGTGCAAAATATATTTGCATATAATGCGTTTTCTTGCTTAAAATTTCTATGTTTATAAACAAGGTCTATTAAATTTGGTAAATTTCTTACCATTTAAAAATATTTGAGTAAAAATGCAAATATTTGGTGTAGAAGTGAAATAAAGAGTTTAAGTTAAAAGATGACTCATTGACTGCTAAATACATGCATTTTTTATTCCCCTTGTTGCACATGGTGTCTTAATATAAACGATTTATAAAATAATGATTAAATTAATTTTTTTTTTATAAAAAATGTATAAATCGATAAATTCAATTCAATGAATATTTATAAGGCGATGAAATTGAATATCGTAATAACACGTTGAAATACTTTGTTCAAACTAGTTATTGTAACTATCTGTTTCTAAGAACTTATTATGTAATTATATAATCTTCATTTTTCTTTTAAGAAGGACTTTAAAAATTCCTCCTTTTTTGTCTTACAAAATGTGGACAGAGAGATATATTGTTCTATGCTATATGAAGTAATGGCCATGAAATTTCCGTCAGGAAAAATACTACTTCTGTTACGTAAAAAATACTAAAGGTATTTTTTGTTATTTTATTGTAATTCAAAATTTTAAACACCTTCTAGATAGGAATCCAGAAACCACTTTCGGTATAGGATTGAGCCGTGGGTTAAATATAATATTCATCATATTATATAGTCTACGCTATTAAGTTCAACGATATCTATTGCGCTAATTACCTATCACTTTTCTACATTCCTGTAGTTACAATGAAAATTTATTCATCCATAAATCAATGGAAATCGAGATCATTTGTAAATCATATCAAGATTTGAATCACGTCATGAAAACGAAAACCGAATCAGTCCTTTATACTTTAAGATATCGTTCAAGCGGAAAATATTGTAACCATGTATACCTAAGAATTTTTTCTTGCACAAGTGAATATTTTTCTACCTGTGTATATCAAATAAGAAACAAGTGGTCCAATTATCTAAAAATACTTTAGCCGACTCGATTATTGTAAAGTAACACTCAGGTACCACGATGCGTGTTTCCAATCCTGTTTTATCTCATTCTTTAACCGGTTCACGCTAGAATGATATCAGAGGGAAAAAAATATATGTCCATGATGCAGCTTTCCAATGTATCGCAATTTGATTTCTGGTACAGCTGATCCTTGAAGTGCCTTTGAAAAAAGATCATAATTTTATTTGATATAACGAATGTGGAATTTTTTCTAGGTACATGAAGCTCTAATATAAATTACAAATTATCTCGTCATTGATCGAACAATCTGAAAAAAAAGGTTATGCAAGTTCTACGAAGATCTAGGAGAAAGAAATGAGGAAATGAAAGGTTGCAAGATTTAAAATGTTAAGACTATAAATTACGATGTCACATTAAATCATTGGATGAGTTTGCTTGTTTTCTTAAGTAAACGTTGATCAAAAGGGAATACATTTTAAGAATTTTGATACATAAGAATTACTTCGAACATAATAGTTATCATATTGTGAAATTAACTGCTGCTTCCGAATAAATCTTTGAATTTTTTCTAAGTTTCGTAGGTCATTATTTCTAATATAATTTTCTCGTTGAAATGAATTCGTAGCTATGCATATAGGTAATTTAAAATTCAATTATTTTTCATCAGTTTGAAAGAGCACATTTTCTAATTCCACCAATCGATGATAAAAATAACTATGAGGACAATATGAGTAAAAACATATCACTAACGAGCATAGAGTGCCGTCTAAAAGGTAGAATGGCTTAATTATACTCTGTTGTCCGGTATAGGTAAACATCAATTGTTTTGTTGTTGGGTTTGCATATGATCGTACTTGATCGAAGACTGAAATAAGTTCGCATAGTTCAGTCAGTATGTGTGGTTGGCTGTAATTTCGCCACTTGACTCGCCAACAACTTATTGTGTCGTAATTCAAGTGCACGGTTACCGTAATCATGTTCAGTGTCAAACTACCTATTTTAAGTTTGTCCTGACCGTATCTTCTTTCACGAAATAACCCTATTAGTATTCTTTTCCTACGCCGTTTAATTCCTCATAAAGTCACATAGTCACCTGTTCCTCATTCGCAACGGATTTGTACATGATTTTCTTATCATTTTTGCATTAAACGATTCTTCTAGTAATAAATTGGATTCTAGGTCAGGGATCATGATTTTATAGAAAAATTTTATAGAGATTTTTTCTTGATTTTCATAAAGGTTTTACATTTTATTCTAGCACCGGCTTGTCCAAACGGAAATTCTTATTTGACGGCGTCTCAAGTTCAAGGAAAGAACTTGAGGACTTGAAAGAATCATCAACAGCAAAAGTTTGAAGTTATGACAACATCCAATGGTGAGTTACACGTAATAAAATATTTAAAAATGTGTTACGACTAATAATATTTAAATTATGTTCGTTTCTTGTGATTTAATGTAACGCGGAATCGAAGGTTTCAGGAAATCAGAAAAGAAACGTTATTATTAACATGAATAAATTTAAGACTCTAATGATAAAATAAATAACCAAACAAGATATAGCTCTGACAATGAAATAAATAATTGTTTATAAACGGCAGTTTATCAAGCCACCTGTTTGCTAATCTTTCTTAACGGCTATTTTACAATGTCAATAATTGGGACGCATGAACGCTAAAATACGAGTAACCGAAGAATTTTTATTTGCCAATGATAAGAAGAATCGCGTTTGCACGTTCCTTAGTTATCGCTTATGGCAAAGTTCCATCAAACTCGTATAAATACGTATTTTTCTCTTTTTACTTGCGATGCAATCACGTCTGATGACCTGATAACGAGCGAGCACTATCACGACTTAACCGGATAATGTTTGCCAAGGAATTATCATATCTAACGGGAAAATATCTCCTTCGTGTGATTCGCGAACTTTGATTCATTGTACGATAACGTACAAAACCTGTTCTTGGATTGTATCGTCGAATACAACAGAGAAGATTGGTATTTTTAAAGCGATAGGAATGTTTGCTAGTGTTAATATTGATTTAATTACCATTGACCGTACACAAATCATATCAGAAAAGATTTACATTGATAAACTCTACGATGTGATACACACATGAATCCTTAATGTGTTATTTAACACCTTTCATACCATATGGATCCTTAATGATTCATTGTGTATAATTATTAGACGTAAACTTTCACTGAAATATTCATATACAAGATGAATCAATAAAGATTATCACTTTGAATACATCGAGAAGTACAAACATAAGAGAACAATTTTTCGCATATGTTATTTGCTATCTAATCTGTTGTAGAAACATCAGTCACGTACTAACGTCTTTTTGTACCAAATAACTTACTCGAAAAATTTTACTTTTATCTTCTCTTATTATTGATTTTTTCCATGTATTGAATATTGAAAAATAAAAATAGACATTTTAAAAAATAATTGAAACGAAATCATTATATGTCTGTGATCTTTGCTTAGGGATAAAAAATGACCAAACATCGGCAGAGGAATGGCAAAAGATTTATACTGGCCAAGATGAAGACATGGTGAGTACTTCAATGATTAATTTTATAGTCTGAATAGTTTCATCGATGTCTTTATTAAATTATACTATATTGCTTTTAGCATATTTATGGATTCGAAAAAAGCAAATTGAAATGTATTTTGACTTATATTTCTTATGCGTTAACCATCGGCTGTGTCAGACTTTTCTTCCATTGGTATCCCCAATTACACATCTATGCTACCCATAAAAAATGCCCTCTGAATCGAGCCACAAAACTGCTTATAAGTGTAAGAATTCTATTCCAGAAATTTTCTATCAATTTTTTATTCTTCTTTTTTTTTTCGTTGTGTTTTGTCCAATGTGAATATTGAATATATCGCATATTTGGAATATAACTATCTAAGATATTCATAAAAAATAAAATTTTTTGAATATATAAAGTTAACCAATTATTTAACTAATAGTTATCAACATGACTTCGTGTATAGGATAACTACCAAGGGAAATATAAATCATACTTCGTGAAGGATGTGAAAACTATTTCAGTAAAGGATATCAGGTCGGTTCAATTTCGAATTCCTCGTCCATTTAATTTTTACAATTTCATACATATTCATTTTATCTTTTCTTTCATCAGTTCGGAAGATTTATTAAAAAATTTAGGCAGCATCAACGAACATCTCATCGAGAAAATTAGATGTAAAAAGTTAAAAATTAATTTAGAAAATGGTACACAGTGTGAGATTGACGAGTATAAAGCTTTTTGGTGCAAAAAACAATGTTACATTTGGGATATCACACAAAATACATTTTCGAAACTGGTAGGCCTAGACAAGTACACCTTGTGTTCGGATCTTAATCTCAACAATAATCACGGACTCTCTAAAGAAGAACAATGTCTTAGGTAACAATAAGATAAAAATCATGCAAGTAGTAATTGATGTACTCATACTTTTTACTTCTAAAAAATTCGTCACTCCAAATAATTAAACAATTTCTCCAACAAGTAACGGTTATCAACTGATTTCTTTTTAAAAAAACGCCTTATTATATTTTATGTATTTATTGCAAAAATAATTTGTAGTATAAAAATATTATAAAATTTATATATAATTTTTCTTTTTTATAGACGAATTGTATACGGTAGTAATGAAATCTTCGTTCCCGTACAAAGCATAGGCGTATTACTAGTATTGGAAGTCTTAAATCCATTTTACATATTTCAAGTCTTCACCCTATGCGTATGGTTCGCAGATGGCTACTTATACTATACTGCAGCAATCATTTGTATGTCACTCTTCGGAATTATAAGTTTTATAATACAAACTCGTAAGGTAAGAAAACTCTTCTATAATCTTTGTAATTCTTCTCAAATCTATTCCAAATAGTATCATAAATATTTTATAATATACACAAATACTGTCTCAGAGTAAAGTTGACCAAAAAGTTAATTGGTTTCATTAAGAATCTACAAAGTACACATTCTACAGAGTTATATTTTACTGGTCACAGTTTAATTAACACTTAAAAAGGACTATAATAAATTTGTTCTTGAACAATTAAAGAAAACTGAAGGACGTCCTATTGTTTGCTTCCTAGTTTTTATGACCTCGCTATATTTGTTCTATAAAGCATACTTGAACAAAGTATACAAGGTAGTTTCCTATCATCGTGCAAGAGTCTTTGTATTATTGACATCTAAATATTTGAGGTTTAAAGGACGAATGTACATTTTCCAAGATTTCCTCGAAATCTGTATCTATATTAAAAGGTGAAACATTTTACAGAATCAAATTAATCTTCGCGGTACAGTGGCATCCACAGAAACTGTTCGCGTGTACAGGAACTCTAAAGTGGCAGAAAATATACCGAGCAGTGATTTGGTACCGGGTGACATCATAGAATTACCCAAGCATCAGGCTACTGTCGTCTGTGATGCAGTACTATTAACAGGGCAATGCATTTTAAACGAATCGATGCTAACCGGTAAAATTAAACAGCAACTAAATCTTTCGTTACAGTTTAATTTATTTATTTGACTCAATTGAATACAATTCTAGGAGAATCTGTACCGGTAACGAAAACTCCATTGCCATCGCGTCACGTATTGTATGATTCTAAAGAATGCTCCCATCATACAATGTATAGCGGCACCACTATCATCCAAACCAGGTATTACGCGTGTACTTTTCATAATTGCTATGGATATTAAAAATTGTAAATTATTATTAATTCGTATTTACTAATAGATGTCACAGTAACCGCCCAGTTCTAGCTCGGGTTATACGGACGGGATTTCACACGAATAAGGGTTCTCTAGTCGCAGCAATCTTATATCCACCTCCGGCAGATTTTAAGTTCGATCAAGATTCTTATAAATTCATTGGTATTTTAGCATTTATCGCAACATGCGGTTTTATCTATACTATTGTGACCAAGGTACATTTTATATTCTTTTTTCTTTTTTCTTAATCCATCAATAGTGATTGTTCAATTGATATTTTTTTTATAAAAATATTATGCCACTGCTATTTCCTTCTAGGCTAATAGAGGGATCACAGCCAGAGATATAGCAATAAAAGCCTTGGACATAATAACAATTGTAATTCCACCGGCATTACCAGCAGCGATGACGGTGGGAAAGTTGTACGCTCAAATACGACTGAAACGAGCACAAATATATTGTATTAACAATAGAGTTATTAACGTATCTGGCAGTATAAATTGTGTGTGTTTTGATAAGGTGAGAATTTTTCTGTGTGACTTATATAATTTAAATCCAAGAATATTATATAATATTGGCGTATTATCTTTTATCTATTTCTATAGACTGGTACTTTAACAGAAGATGGTTTGGACATGTGGGGTATTGTACCTTGTACAAATGGTGTTATTGGTGAATCAGAAAGAGTTATTCCAAAATTAAGTAATCATCCTCTGTTTGAAGGAATGTTAGTTTGTCACAGTTTAACATTAATTGATGGTGAACTCTGTGGAGATCCTTTAGACATTAAGGTAAATTTACTATAATTTAATAGATTTATAGCAGACTTATAGCAGGTTTACTATAAATAGTGCTTAAGTTAAACAAGTCGTTGAGTAAAAAAAAAGAATAAGTGATTGCTTATTAATTATTGTAGATGTTTGAAAGTACTGGATGGATATTAGAAGAGCTCAGTAATGAACACTCAGATAAATATGATCTCATAGCACCGACGATCTTAAAACCACCGGAAAATAATAGTTTCACACAAAATATGAACAAAATATTAGAAATTGGAATAGTGCAGCAATATCAATTCTCAAGCTCTCTCCAACGAATGTCTGTGATAGTACATGTCTTGGGTACGGAGACGTTTAAAGCTTACACAAAAGGATCGCCTGAAATGATCCTTAGTTTAAGCAAACCTGAAACCGTACCGAAAGACATAATGTTTTGTTTGAAACATTACACAGAACAGGGTTATCGCGTAATAGCTATGGGACGAACAGAATTGCCCCAAAATAGTAATGTGGTAACAATGATCATTTCAATGTTTCTTTTTTGAATATTCATTTTTATACATTCGTCTTTTGATTACATTTTCTATATTTTTATAGATAAGGAAATTGCCTCGAGATGCAGTTGAACAGAATCTTGAATTCTTAGGTTTAGTTATTATGGAAAACAGGTTGAAGACGCCAACTATACCGGTTATCAAAGAACTGAGAACGGCTAACATACATATCGTGATGATCACAGGTAATTAACGTTTAGCAATTACCATCTGCCGGTATATCAACATACTTGCCAGAGCAAAACTACCAGTTGTTGAGTAACGAAATAATTTTTCACATTCAGGCGATAATATTCAGACTGCAGTAAGCGTAGCAAAAGAATGTGGCATTTTGTCGCCGCAAGAATCTGTGATAGACGTAACTGTAATTATGGAAGAAAATAAATTACAGCCTGAGATTTATTTCAATGCTCAAGAAATGTCTCCAAAATTGGTAATATTAAAAATTTTCAAAATTGCTATTCAGAAAGTTAAAAACATATTTTATTTTTTCAGAACCTCCATGATAAAAATTTCAAAATACCAAAATTGAAAGATATAGAACGAAATATAGGCAGCATTAATTATCGGTTTGCGTTAACAGGTCAATCTTGGCAATTGTTACGTGAATATTATCCAGATATCGTGGCAAAAATTTGCGTCCGTGGTGCAATATTTGCACGAATGACTAGCGATCAAAAACAACAATTAGTATTAGAACTTATGCGACTCGGTTATTATGTGGGTATGCATCAATGTTTAACATTTATTGTATTTAATTTCATTATCTCATAGAATAGTAGTTTTAAAATATTTCCTAAACATTATAGCCATGTGTGGAGATGGTGCTAATGACTGCGGTGCTTTGAGAGCTGCCCACGCGGGTATATCCTTATCCGAAGCAGAATCTAGGTAATATTTCAATGCTAAAGAATTACATCATTATTTTACATAACAGCCTTGGGTAATTTAACTTTCATTCTATGCAGCAAGTTTACTTTATATGACTTTTGCATTCTTTCTTCTATGTCACGAGGTAATTTTAGAAATTGAACTAACTTGACTTCAATTTAATATTTAATTACAAATTTCTAGATAAAAATTATATTTTATTCAATAAGAATTTACCTACATATCATGAACTATCTGAACGTTTTGATAATAACATTCAATAAAATATTCGTTTTAGTGTCGCAAGTCCTTTTACATCCAAAGTATCCGATATAACCTGTGTTCCGAAGGTAATAAGGGAAGGTCGTGCTGCTCTGGTTACATCATTTGGAATCTTCAAATTTATGGTCACCTATTCTCTAACAGAATTTTTGTCTGTTATTATTCTTTATTCCATTGATTCGAATTTAACAGATTTAGAATTTTTATTTATCGACATATGTCTCATTCTTAATTTAGCTTCCTTTTTTGGTAAAACTCAGGCATACAAAAAAAAGTTAGTAAAAAAACCGCCTATGACTAGTTTGTTAAGTTTCACATCGATCTTCTCTTTATCGCTACATATGTTGATAATGACAATTTTCCAAGCTGTCGCTTATCACACAGTGCGCACTTTTTCATGGTTTACACCATTTATTTACAATGATGAAACTGGATACATGTGTTATGAAAATTATTCTGTTTATTGCATTTCTATGTTCCAATACATAACGATGGCTATAATATTTTCACGTGGAAAGCCATACCGGAAAGCGATATATACGAACATAGCATTTATAATTTCCATAATTTTATTAATCATAGTTTGCACTTATATTACAATTTACCCAGCAAATTGGATAGTAAATTTGCTTCAATTACTAGTACCACCGGCGTACGAGTGGAGAATTATTATTTTAGTACTCGCTTTTGCAAACTTTGTTGTTTGTTTCTTTGTCGAAATATTTGTGATAGAGTATTTAATAGAGAAAAAATTCAAGTCAAAGTTTTACAAACCTGAAAAATCTAAGAAGCAATATCTAAGGATAGAACACGAATTGAAAAATAACTTAAGTTGGCCAACGCTTAGTAAAGAAGTACCAACATTGTCAATAACACCAAGTATAGAAAATATTATTAACGTAACATATCCAGAGAACCAATCCTATATTAATGAAACTAAAAGGAATTTAGAAAGCAATAAACTTCATCAAACACTAGGGTCAACTAAGAGTAATAATGGATTATACGCTTTCGATAATTACACGTTCGTAGATGATGAATTGTCACGAAATACAAATATGATAACTAGATTTTAATATGTATTTGGAAATACTTTATTTAATGTTACAAAATTTGTACATACTTATGTACAATATATGTATATAAGTATTTTCAAAACTGTTCAAGTGTGATGCTGCAAAACCGTACAAATATATACAAGATAATATTTGTACTTGTATATGTATAGAATGTATTTGTAATAATTACTGAAGTACATGGTATTGATGATATTTACGATTGCATACTACCAATAATGTTTCAATATTAAATAGTAATTTATCAGTAATTTATAAAAATACAAAAAATATTATTTCTCGTAAAATTTTTTAATAAAATTGTTGTAAAATACGTACATTTTTTTGCTTAATAAAATATTTGGGCATCCAAGAAATAAAATAAATTACATATCATAAGACGAGATTGTTTATCGTCTTTGGATCCGACAATTTCAATTTTTTTAGCATGCTCTGTAATATGAATAATCGCGTTATTCATAGATATATATATTTATAAATGTAATAATTTTAAGCATATCTACCTATAATGCTTTTGTGATTTATCTCAAGTTCTTTCTGAATCCAATCTCTATAACGAAGCACAATCTTATTTATTATTTGTATTGTATTTTCATGTATTTTTGGCTTTAACAACAGCTTTGGTAAAGTTGATATAAATTCTTTAAATGCACTTTCCCTGTAATACATCAGATATTACTAAATGATCCAAAACAGATAAGAAAAGAAGTGTAAAATTAATTACCTATGCAATTCATATAGAGTATGATCTAACATCATATCACTAATTAGAGGAAATAATTGTAACTGCATTTCTTTTTTTGACTGATTATAACATGTATTTACAATTAACTGTAAAGTTTCACTCAAGTCAAGATGATTTTTATACCAAATTTTACTTGCTTTTAGAAATAATGTATTCAGAAGTTTAATCAATTGTGGTAATACAATATTATTTATGTCACACCAGTTTTCAAGTTTTTCTATATAAAAAAAGCTATTACTGTATATGTTGTTAATTTAATTAATAACCTCAAGAATAGATTTTACTATACCATTTAAATACTTCATTATGGATATACAATAATTTTTGTATATTTTAGACATAACTTTATCATTATCCTGTATTGATGTAAACCATACATAAATTTGACAAATTCTCAAGTTATACCCTAAACAAATATCATATGACTCATCTATAGCAAAATCTTGTTGACGTTTTCTGTTTCTTATTGAAGAAAGAAGATTTCCAGCTGCACCTAATTTATTGTATGGAAATTTTGAAAGTAAATTTTTTACATAAAGATTTTGAAAGTTACTTTTAAACCAAAATTTCATATTGACATCACATTCTGTGTGTAATATATCTATGCATTCAATTATTAATTGTATTACTTCTACAATACTTTTTAATAATTCTAATGCTTCTGTAGAAATCAAAAGTGCAGAGTTTTCTACATTTTTTTCATCTGGACATACTTCAATCCAGCTGTCAAATATAAGTGGCATTAATAATTCTACATATTTCATAAGTTTATCTGCATCTAAAGTATTATCTCTATCATCTTTTACAAAATTATCAGTTTTTTCAAAATTAATTTCACAATTCTGAAGGTTTGTATTCATGTAAATAGGAATATGTATAATATTTTTATTTACATTTATAACTTTAGCACATTGTTCTAAATTAATAGTCTGTTGAGATTTAAAATATGTAACAATAGAACTAAACATATCAGCAAGTCTTCCTAATACTTTAATCCTCCATTTAACATTAGTATTCTTGGAATTTATGGTTGTTACTAATTGCCTTCCTGGCTTCATTTCTGTATGTAATCTAGAAATCATGTCTAAAAAATTTGGCAGCACTTTATAACTGTTCTTTGCCAATATATTACTACAATTTTGCACAAGTACATCCAAGAAAAGTAAAGCATCTTCTTTAATATAAGGATCTATATGTGTCATAGAACATTTCAAATAGGAAATAAGTACATCACAGTATGGATTAAGTTCATCATTAGAAACTGGACCAAGAATTAAACTCAAAACTTTCAAAGAGTTATGTCTTATATCTCTTTCTCTATCAAGAGACAATGCACAAATGCCTTGCAAAAGAGGTCCATATTGTGAACTTAATAATTTTAAAGAGTGTTCTGACAAAATTTCTTTTAGTTCTTTTACAGCATCTTGCCGAACTGTAGAGTTATGATGCTGCAAACGCGATAATAAGTCCTAGAAATAAAATTTGTATTTAGAAATATATTTAAAAGTACAAACATATAATAATACCTTAACATTAAGTTTTCTTTTGCTAAGTATTTCCGTCTCATCATGCTGTTTCAATTGTTCTCGTATTACAATTTTTTTAACTTTAAATGTTGGTTCTGTAATATTTAATCCTTTTGGTAAATGTTTTGCTTTCTTTGTTTTCAATTTCACTTTAGCTTTTTCAGATTTTAAGCGTTTTAAATGTTTATGACCCTTAGCCATGATTAATTAATATTAAAAAGTAAATTTTTGTTATATTTAAATTTAGAAGAATTGTTGGGTATACACAATTTTAGGTTAAGATTAGAACTACCAAGCGTGGACTATATCCCCACTCCTAATCCTTTTGTCCTACCTTTCTGTTAAAAGTAGGGAAATATAACGCATGCTTGGTAGCTCTGTATCTTGGAGAATTACTAAATTCCGTATAATATGTTTGAACATAACAGGTTGAAGTGTATTTTTCTAATCTGAATTCAGTAATAATGGAAATTTATTTAATTTAGAAAAAGTATTATGTAAATATTTAAAAAAAAATTTCTTAGATAAAATCAATGTTTTATATTCGTATAACAGTATTATTGTAAATGTATTCATAAACATCATAATTATATTAGGTTAAATTATCTTTAAAATATTCGTGTACGTTCGGTATTATAAATCGTTAATTCAATTATACGTTTATTATGACAAAGCAGATTTCTTTTAAAAAAGAGGTAAATAACCTAACTTTTTAGATTTTTACGTTACAATAAAATGGCAATAAATACATTCATTTCTTTCTATACAAATTTTTAAATGTTTTTTTGTAATTTTTTTTAACATATTATGTTATTAATGTAATTTATATTATAAAAACATAGTTTCATAATTTATCTTATAAATATAATTATTTTATACTTATGATTTTAATATTTGTTAAAGTTAATTTATAGAAATATACAAAAGTATACAGTAAAAAAATTATATTTGCCTTTATACAAAATATATCATAAAACTTAATTATTCAAAATTGAATATTCTCCAATTTCAAATAATATACTGTTTATATACATGTGGTTCTAATAAATAGGAATATTTAATCAAAAGTATAATAAATTTGTATAAATTCAGCAAAGATAAGATATTTCTTTGATTATATGTAAAACTTTAAATATATATATATGTTTATATGAATATCAATAATAAAGTGATGTGTTATTTAAAATATAAATTATATATAAGAATATCATATATAATGTACATTATATATTTTTTCAGATGTTTTAATTATCAATCAATTGAAGATTCTAAAATTATTTATGTTCACTTTAATAAATGTTTAATAACCTAATGATACACTAATTAATTTTTACTGAAGTAACAAGTAAAAAGTGTTGTTGCTGGGCAATCACTTTTATAAATTTCTAAAATTGCGGTGAATTTAAATTTAAAATTATTAAAGATGAATATAACAATGACTTATTGTCCACCAAATATTACTTTTACTGATATTTGGGTGGAACATGGAATGTCAAAATGCTTCATGGACACTGTCAGTATCATCGTAATTACTTCATATTTATTGATTTTTGGTACAATTCAACTTTGGATGTATCAAAAGTATAGATCCGAAACTAATGCAATTCCATTACCTAAGAATAAATTATACATTGTACAAAAATTCTTCCTTTATCTTGTTCCAATACTTAGTATAGTGAGAATAATTCTACAAGGAACAATTTTAGATGATAATAAAATATATGGTTACATGGTAATAAATTTCATACAATATTTGTATATAGTAATATTATTTAAGTTTGGAATGTAATGTACATTGATATTTTTAGATTCTCGTAACAATATTAACAGTAATCGTGTATCCATATTCAGTACATATATTAAGAGTAGAAAGACATAAGTTGTTACCAAGTGTACCACCACAAGGACATGGACTTGCATTATTAGGTTTTTGGACTTTAGCATTTGTTGCAGAAAATCTAGTATTTGTTAATATTGGTAAAACCGAATGGTGGTTTCATTTAAATACGTAAGTTTTATAATATGTATTTTTAATACATACATGACTGTATTCTTATATTTTTTATACTCATATTTTTAATGGTACATTTGTATCTGTTTACTACATTTGCTGAAATATTTTTTATGTATATATATATACTGTTTATAGATTAACAGATCACATTGAGATGGCACTATTCATTCTACGTTATGTTAGCAATCTTATGATCTTTGCTTTAGGACTCAAAGCTCCAGGAATAAATGGAAATACAGATGTTGAATATCATACTTTAAATAATGGTCCAGCTTCACGGCCTAGATATTATCATAATGTAAGTCATTAAAATATAGCCTTATTGCATAATTTGAAGAGTTACACTTTTTAATTGGAAAAAATCTTATACCCATTGTTGAATTGCATAAAACATTAAGATGAATTTTTTATATTAATATCTAATATAGTTAATTTATAAAGATTAAAAATTTATATTTAATACTTATTAAATTTTGTTTTAATTTAATATAACTTTGATAATAATTTCAGCGACTTGAGGATACTAGCTCTGCTTGGAAGAATGCATGTCATAAGATAAAAGTTTTAGCACCATTTTTGTGGCCAAAGAGTTACATGCTGCAACTGCGTGTTATTTTTTGCTTTGGTTTACTTCTATTGGGACGTTTAATAAATTTGTATGTCCCAGTTTATAATAAATGGATTGTAGAAAGTGTCTCTGAAATTCCTGTATTATTTAGGTATACAAAATTTCTATTAAAAGTTAAAAAAATAAATAAGTACTATAATGTATAGAATATTTAATTTTCATAATAGGTGGGATCTTATATTGATATATGTAGCAATCAAATTTTTACAAGGTGGTGGTACAGGTGGTATGGGATTCCTAAATAATCTCAGATCCTTTTTATGGATTCGTATACAGCAGTATACGACTCGAGAAATTGAAGTCGAATTGTTTAGGTAAATATATTATCTTCCTCTTTGATTTCCTTCTATATCTAGATTTTATTTGTACAAATATTTTCTCAGACACCTACATAACTTAAGTTTACGTTGGCATCTTGGAAGAAAAACTGGAGAAGTCTTAAGAGTCATGGATCGTGGAACAGATTCTATAAATAACCTTCTCAATTATATTCTTTTTTCAATTATCCCAACAATCATTGATATTGTTGTAGCTGTTACTTTCTTTGTTATTGCTTTTAATAAGTGGTTTGGCTTAATTATATTTTTAACAATGAGTTTTTACATAGGTAAATATCATATATATTTTTGACATTTCTCTATTTACTATTACAATCATTTTTATTGCATTTTAATACTTATATTCATTAGCTGCTACAATCATGATTACTGAATGGCGCACTAAGTTCCAGAGGAACATGAACTTAGCAGACAATGCTCAAAAAGCACGAAGTGTTGACAGCTTACTTAATTTTGAAACAGTTAAATATTATGGAGCAGAATTATATGAAGTTGATAGTTATAGAAAAGCAATATTAAAATTCCAAATTGAAGAATGGAAATCAATGATAACATTAAATATTTTAAATAGTTTTCAAAATATAATTGTTTGCACTGGTTTACTTGCTGGTTCCTTACTGTGTGTACACATGGTTAGTACAAAAAATTCTTCTCGTTGTTTGAAACTTAAACATATAAAAATACATATAATTAACTAATTGTAGGTTGTAACCAAACAAGGTTTAACTATTGGTGATTATGTTTTATTTGCAAGTTACATCATTCAACTTTATGTGCCATTAAATTGGTTTGGTACATATTATCGGTAAGTATTTGTGTCAATATTATTGCATTAAGTTTCAAATTATATCATTTATTCTAAAATAATCTTGTTGCTTTTACAGTGCGATACAAAAAAATTTTATTGACATGGAAAATATGTTTGACCTCTTAAGAGAAGAACAAGAAATTATTGATGCTCCAGGTGCTGGTCCATTAATCATAAAACATGGTCAAATAGAATTTTCAAACGTGACGTTTAGTTACACACCTGAGAAAGTTATATTAAAAAATGTTAGTTTTGTCGTACCAGCGGGTAAAACTACTGCATTGGTTGGACCTTCTGGAGCAGGAAAATCTACTATTGTGCGACTATTATTTAGATTTTACGATGTAGAACAGGGTGCGATTTTGATCGACGATCAAAATGTTAAAACCGTTACACAAGCCTCTTTAAGGCAAGCGATAGGTGTTGTACCTCAAGATACAGTATTGTTTAATAATACTATAAAATACAATATTCAGTATGGTTCTATCGAAGCGATAGATGCGGACATAATATCGGCAGCTAGAAGTGCAGACATTCATGAGCGAATTCTTTCATTTCCAAATGGTTATGAATCACAGGTATATTATTAGTTCAATAATAAAATTATTCTTAATCTTTTAACTGTTCCTTACATTTATATCATTTTGTTTCTGTACAGGTTGGTGAAAGAGGTCTCCGTTTAAGCGGTGGAGAAAAGCAGCGCGTTGCGATTGCACGTACAATACTGAAAGAACCAGCAATTGTACTTTTAGATGAAGCAACAAGTGCTCTTGATACCCACACGGAACGTAACATACAAGCAGCGTTAAACAAAGTTTGTGCTAATCGAACAACTATTATCATAGCGCACAGATTATCCACAATAATACATGCCGATGAAATTCTTGTTTTAAAAGACGGAGAAATTGTAGAGAGAGGTAAACATGAAGAGCTGATTTCTTACAATGGAATGTACCACTCAATGTGGCAAGCACAATTGCAAAATGATCAAGAAGTTACCAAAGTTTCAAATGACGACATTGAAGAGAATGAAGCAACAAAATCTTAATTATGTTTGACCTTATTTGTTAAAATAAGATCAAATGTTAATATTAATGATTGGTTTAAAAGAAATATGTACCTGTTCATAAAAACTTACAGAGATTTATTCATCTTAAGTTCCTTACAAATGAATAGTTTATTAAAAAAATATAAGTTTAAATAAATATTTCAATTCAATCTTTATTTTAAATTCATATTAAAAAATGTGATATAATTTTTTAGTTCAATATAAAATTTCATTATATTGATAAGCAATTATTACTGTTAAGATTGGCTAATGTACATTTTAGATAATGATTTCTATAACACTGTTATTGAAATTTCACCTTTTAAAAGAATAAATAAAGTATAAATTAATGATTCTAGTGACTATTTTCCTAGCAAATTCTTATTGTTTACAATTATACAGTATCATTTATTCTATCAAATGTAGATAATTAAGATTTCATAGTTGTAAGTTTCTTTATACATCTTTTGTGATATTAAATAGTTTGATCCTCAACCTGTACATCGGCAGTTTCGATAATTTCATTTGCAAATGCTCCATCTGGTACCCAACCAGATTGATCAATTGGAGCTGTTACAGTTACTTCTTTTGCACCCCAAAAATAATAACTTGTAAAAAATATCCATAACAGAGCATACACTACCTAATAATACAAACAATTAACAAAAGCATTATTTTAACGTTAAATTTTGTCGCAATATGCATATCAACTTTTAACTCGTCAAGAAGAAAGAAACTTACTTTGAAAGCAATCTTTGCTTCTTGTTTAACCATATTGAAAAATTACAAATAGAATTTGTTCATTTCGAATTGAACTACTTTCGAGGTCCGAAGAGTAGATTTTTTTTATTCAACTTATTATTAGAAAATAACTTAAAACAATTCAATATTGTAAAATTTTCAATTTTTCATTTGTAAATTTTTTATAAAATTCCAATTCAATCAATTTAAAAAGTACATCCAACAAATTATTTGTAAACAGCTGACGTACGGATATCTAACTTAAACTGATCACCAATTTTGATGGTAAAATGGTAACGTATGTGACGTGTGTCAAGATGTTTGCATTCCGATAAAGAAAAACATTAGCTGGACTTTCTTTTATTATGTATATCTGAAAATGAATAGTCTTGGTTTAAGTTTAATTTTAAAAATGGGTTGCATTTGCTCTAAAGAAACAATCACAATAAATTCAAGAAATTATACAGTTCGTGAACATCTTGGAGAAGGGCAAGTTTAACAATAAGACAAATTTTTATAAATTATTTTTCTATTTACGTTAATTTTATGAAAAATCAATATTCTTTTCTATGAAATCTTATTATTGTCGAAAAGAATTTTATTATAAACTCATTTAACCTAATGTATCACGTTTGCTTTATGTAGAAACCAATGGTAACCTTTCCAAGTTATATGTAAATAAATTTAATTTTATCAAATATTAAGTACTCATTGCTGTAAATTTAATTGTAATGCAACTTTAGTGGTTTTAGCACTGTATTCTTAGTGGAAGATGCTATAACTCATAAGAAATATGCCATTAAAAAGATCATTTGTCATGGATTGGAGGATCAGAGATTAGCAGCAAAAGAAATAGAATATCATAATCTTGTTAAACATCCAAACATTATAGAATGTATTGATTCAACATATATAGGAATAGTGGATCCAATTGTTAATGCAACCAGTGAAGTATTGATTGTTTTACCATATTATCATGTAAGTTATTATATTAATATATTAAAATATTCATACCTATATAAATTGATAAATTAATATATAAAATTTTGTATTTCCTTAGAGGGGTACTCTTACAAATGAGTTAGAAAGACGTGCTAAGAATAAGGATTATATGAGTGCATTAGATATTTTAACTATATTTTTACAAATATGTGAAGGTGTAAAAGCATTTCATGAAGCAAAACCAGAACCTCTTGCTCACAGAGATCTAAAGACTTCAAATATTGTTCTTGATGATGGAAGTACACCTATTATAATGGATTTAGGTATATTATCTTATTATCATATATAATGACGAGTAATAATTATTAAATCAAAATTATCCTTTATAGGTTCTGTAGCACCAGCTAGAGTTAAAATATGTGGTTCACAAGCAGCGCAAACTTTACAAGATTTAGCAGCTGAAAGATGTTCAATGCCATATAGAGCACCAGAATTATTTAATGTAGAAAGTTATTGTATGATAGATGAACGAACAGATATTTGGGTAAAATTAATACATTTCTTTATATACATTATTGTATATTATCATTTATTAAAATCTTATATATTCTTTTAGTCTTTAGGATGCATTCTTTATGCATTGTGTTACTTTAAATCACCATTTGACACAGTATATGAGAGAGGAGACAGTGTTGCTTTAGCTGTAATGAGTGCAAATATTACATTTCCAGAAGATGCTCCATATACTGAGGTATAATTGTAGTTAATTGTATTTCATAAAAGTTTTTAGGTTTAACTGCTGATACTTTTTATTTTATAGGATATGCAAAATCTAATTTTATCAATGTTAAAGGTAAATCCCATGGAACGTCCTTATATATATAGCATTATAGAAAATGTACATGATTTTATCTCGAAATTAGAAAACAAAGTATAATTATCTAAAAGACAATAATTTTAATATTTATTTAAACATTTGTGTATAGAAAATTTTTTATACAATGAAGTAATTTTAACATATCACTTTGAAATATTTTATTCCTTGTAAAGTAAGGAATTTATAAAATTAATTTTTCAAAAGTGAAGAGTTCACATATATTTAAAATATGTAAATAGCATTTTAACAATACTTTAGATATGTCATAAATTTGTATAATATTATTAATATAAGAAATACTGTCAGCTATCAATCATGCACTTTTTATAAAAATATTAGGGGCCACACATAATTTAAATACATAAACTAAATAATGTATTGTATAATATAAAGTTGTTCATGACTGTATATATTTTTATACAATGCAATTTATTATTTTTTCTTTAATTATTAATATCAAGCGAAAATTTTCCGATATTTGATTATAATAAATATTATTACTATGTTTATTATCGTAAATAATCCTTAATAATATATCTATATTTCCAGCTAGAATTTTTCAAAATTTATGCAGCAAACTTCATTGTATGATAAACTTGATGTTAACATTTTTAATTTAAAATTCATGTGTAGATAACGGCTGTAAGAATCGTACGATATGACGTATTACCGCTACGTCACACAACGTCATATAATTCGATAATGTTTAAATATATTTGTATATCATTAACAACATTTTTCATTAATTTATTGTAATCTAATCACACGATAAAATTACTATTTTGTTAATTAATTGGAAAGTTGAATAGTACGAACGCAAACATTAAGATTTTAATCGTGAAAATGCATCGGCAACTTTGAACCACACTTCACACCGGTAACGTCGGTAGAGTTAAGAATGTAAAGTAGTTTTTTACATGGGCCTGTACTTTAAGTAGACGTCTCTCACTGGACTCTCAGATAGTGAAGGCTTGTTAAAATATACTACATCTGTGTTATATTTGTATGCAAAACTAAGTAAGTTGCTTTTGTTATTGACAAACTAACCTTATATAAATGCCTCATGAAAAATAATTTTGATCTTCGATAAAAATTTAACAATTGAACGCTTGTGGTATCAGAATAGAAGTTAAATTGTTGAATTATGCAATTAATACAATAATTATAATAGATGTATGATACTAATTTTTTCTTCATAAATATTTTTTAATTTTAATGTGAAATGAATTAATTCAATGGTGCAAAATACATATAATTTTGGTCAAACGTTAGAGAAACATAACCTTAGTTTCTATAATTTTAAAATTAGAACAATTTTTAAAATATTAAGATTATTTAAACGATATTATATTATGCTATTATCCATTTTTTATGTAAGTGCTTTATAACCTAGTTTTTCTCAAGTTATTTTCTATAAGTAGATTTATTTTTGCTCTTTTTTCTGGCATATTTAATTATTCTAAATGTAAAATTTATGAAAATTTTAATTTATCATGACTGCATTAATAAACGTAAATAAACATTAATTGTTTAGACAAGAAATATTCTGTTGTTATTATTCGTATTATGAATTTAAAAAAGAAAGAAAAGAAAAAATGATATGAATTTATCGTAAAAACCAGATAAATTTATCATCATTAATCAATAATTTATTATGTATTAGATTTAGAATTATAGTGAATTGATGGTTATATTTTTTTAAACTAGTATAAAGTTATAGAAAAAATCCATTATAGTATTTTTTGTTTTCGATTTATACTAATTTTACTATTTTACTATCTTCTATGCGTTTTTTTTTAAATCGTTGTTAGATGCTTATTTTCAAGTCTCAGCTATTTAAAAAGGTCAAGGTTGCACCTCAGTTCAACGTAAAAGACGGTCATAAATGGAAAGATAAACGAGGATCTTTTATGAAGCTATTATTTAAATTCATTTCATTTTTTATATTTATGTATTACACGTTTATTTATATTTTAATAAAGTATAAAAATATTTACACAATAAATAAAAAAGTTAGTAAAATAAAAATACATTAGTGTAATTCTAATTGATGTATTTTAACAATTTTGAAGTGACAAAAAGTAAAAATTCGTTGTCTTAAAAAAGGACTCAATAACTAAATAATTTTTTAATCAGTGTTTTCAATTATATTTTGGAAAATTAGTACGATTTATTTAGAAGTCGTCTACAAATTGTCTACAAATGTTTATCCGATAATAAATTATATAAAAAATTTAATAGATAGTGATTTTTTTTCTTATATAAATCACTAAATTAAATGAATGAATGTGTCGTGATTATCATGTATATGTCATGAAATAATCTCTTATAATATGATATCAATGCGTGATCTTAGGAAAAAAATTAGTCATTATTATAAACATTAGATATAAATTTCTAGATACCGGTTTATAACTAGAACTACTCGTGGCTTTTTATAACCTATAATTAAGTTTTATAATTATGTTACGATTATTATTTAAAGCGATATTTGGGATGTAAGAACTTACACTTAATTTTTCATTTTATTGGATGTCTAATATATTAAGAGTATAGTATTTTTGTTTAATCTTCTTTTTATGTAAATTCATTAACTATGATCAAATCTTTGCAAGTATAGCAATATCTCGAATGATAAAATTGTGGTAAAATTGCATAACAATCAGAGTTTAAAAACCTTTATTATCTGTCCACGTGGTAACCACTGATCGCGTTATAAGTCACGTGATGAATAGTTAATACTCGTATGATTCTTGAAACTTGGACATTTTGATTTTAATGGCAGTATGAGTTAAAATTAAGCACATCCTTTCGATTCTCTGATGAATATTACATTGTATTCATTAATAAATCTTGATTATATTTCATAACCACGAATATGCACGTAACTTCCGTACATGTAACGCTTTTAAATATGTGTAAATGTTATAAGCAAGAAAAGGTGAAGAATTATGTTCCTTTAGTTAGATAAAATCACGTTAATAGATACTAAAGATATCGGCACGTTAAATAAAAAATGTTTTTTCACTCAGATCATATTCGATTGAGGAAAAATAATATACTAACCATTAATGTAATTAATCGATAATAAATCAATAATGTGACGTACATGTGAAAAAAATTAGAAATTAGAAAATTAAATTGAAGAAAAATTGTTCGAAATTGTAAATTGAAGAAAAATTTACAAAAATTAAATTAAAAGATACTGTATTAGAATTTAAAAAATTATTTCTCATTCTAAAATAAATATTTAGATACATTCGGTATAAGTTATTCGGTCAGATTTTATTAGGACTGACATATAATTTATTTCTTTGATCTAAAATAAGAAGAATGGAAAAATATTGTTTTTATGATTACATAATTTTCGAGAACATCTTTATATTTTAATCTTCAAATTTTAAAGGGTATAACGTGACACTGAAAAAAAAGAAAATAGGTTAATATGATCAACTACGAAAAAAAACGGTAGAATCGTACGATATCTTGAGATATCGTTAGCTTCTGATGTTACTTATGCGCACAGTGTTACTTGGAATATTCAGTTAACCGCTAGCGGTTTTGCGGGGTGAACGTTTCGTTTTATCCTCTGAGTTAAATCTCCTAGGTTAGAAAATTCAGTGTAAGAAAATTAAAATTTAATCCATTTAATTTTTATTGGTTAATAGGTGCATTATCAAATATTTTTTTATAAAGTGAAAGTGGTTTCATTTATAATTTTCGTTTTATTATATATTTATTCTTCTGTGATTCGATTTATGTATATATATATTAACGTATAATTCTTAAAATTTTAGGTTTGTCAGTTTATTAAGAATATTTTATGAGATTTATGTAATCTTGTGTATAGACTATTCATACGATAGATTAACAGTATGGAAAATGAAAAAATTAAACATGGTGACGTGAACTATCATACAACTGCTAGTGTCAAAGTGAAAGTGTTGCTTCAAGTTTCTCTTACATTTTTCTTTATGAAGTTAATATTGAATACAAGTTTTTTAGATATTGACGTTGTAACTATGTTTTAGTTGAAATCTTCGCGGTTGGAGTAACTCTAATTATGTATTTTTCTCGCATGAATCTCATTTTAAATTATAATTTTTCTGTCAGTTCCTAGTTGACATAACTATTTATTTTACTTATATTTTAGATGATTTCAGACGATATTGACAAGAGTCTTTGAAATAATGTTTTTTATAAAAAAAACTAATAAAAGGGCTCCGATTTTATAAAATATTCAATAATTAAGTCTTTTATAAGATTTCAAGAACTAAATACAGTTTGTCAATTTTTATGCAGTATATTACGAAATTTTTTAAAAAGTTTACTCGTACTGAAATATCAGTTTTCTATTAGTTATGACTTTTGAAACGTGGTATGAAGATTTATTTCACGTTTTGTTATATATGCAAATACGCAAATGCGTTGCAAATGATATAACCCGATGATTGTGTAATTATTATTGCTGTTTAAAAAAATGCATATATTATGTAAATGAGACAAAGTGATGTGACGAAAAATTGAAATAAAATATAATTTTTAATTTTATTTTATTAAAGATGTTAAATGCCGGTTTCGGTAATAAGATATAAAATAACCGATAACTAAGCATTTTTATTAATTATCTCGAAATTCGAAAAATTAGAATCATTTCTGTAAACTAGTTAAATTTATACATTACAAATGAGATTGATATGCGGTAAAATTAACGAATAATTATATTTCAACAAATTTTTTCTGTTCGATACTGGAATGCGGTCGGCCGACTTTTGAATTCAGCCGAATTCAATTTAAATTTAATATCTTTTAGGGCTCATATTTCTAATTTTTATCTTTAGTCTGTATATTTTTGAAAACATATACCATAATTTTACGCATTGATAATAAAAAACTATTAAAAATAAACCTAAAACGTATAATGATAAATAATGATAAATTAGTTATAAATTTAATATTGGTAATATTGATAACATGTTTTGTTTGATATTTCAAATATGCATGAGTAACACATTTTAATAACATAGTATGTATTTTTTTTAGGAATTGTTAAAAAATGTCAGCAAAAGCAATTCGTGAAGCAACTGGAAAGGACCTTATTAATCGTGAACTTCCTTCTGGTACAAACGCAGTAAAATGTCGGTTTGTGACTATTACAGAAGAAACAAATTGGACAGATGTTGTAAATGAGCATCCATGGCTTCAAAGAGAAAGATTAGTTGTGAAACCTGATCAGTTGATAAAACGGCGAGGAAAACTTGGTTTAATTAAAGTGAATGCCGATTTAGCTGCAGTGAAACAATGGATTGCAGAAAGAATGAATAAAGAGCAGAAAGTAGGGAGAACAAGTGGAAAATTGAGAACATTTATCATTGAGCCTTTTGTTCCTCATAAACAAGTAAAGATTTATTACTGTTAACAAAAATTTAATAGAAAAGATTATACTAATAGTGATTTTATTTATAGGAAGAAGAAGCTTATGTTTGTATCTTCTCCAGCCGAAAAGCAGATACTATCTTATTCCACCACGAAGGTGGTGTTGACATTGGAGATGTTGATTCCAAAGCTTTAAAATTAAATATTTCTGTTGGAGAAGAAGCCCCAGATCGGTCTACAATAATTGAAAAATTGTTAATAAATGTAACCAATGATAAAAAAGAGTAAGAATATATTAAAGCACATTACTTTTCTACTTTGCATATTCTTCTTAATAATGATATATTTATTTTCTTTTCAGAGTGATTGGCAAATTTGTAGAATCTCTATATAAACTTTATGTTAACTTATATTTCACTTACTTAGAGATCAATCCTTTGGTGGTAACAGAAAATGGAATATATATACTTGATCTTGCTGCGAAATTGGACACAACTGCAGATTTCATATGTAGACCAGCCTGGGGAGAGATTGACTATCCACCACCATTTGGCAGGGACGCTTATCCAGAAGAGGCTTACATCGCTGATTTAGACGCTAAATCTGGAGCTAGCTTGAAATTGACTATTCTCAACCCAGCTGGTCGGATATGGACAATGGTTGCTGGCGGTGGTCAGTAGAAGCGCACAGCAATATCATTTACGTGATTAATCGAGTTCATTCTAACCAAATTTTGATTGTCAAGTCGTTTATTTTATTTCAACTAAGGTTTGTCGTTTTTACCTATATTTTTTTTTATCTTCCAATTACTTTCTTTTTTTAGGTGCATCCGTGATATATTCGGACACAATTTGCGACTTGGGTGCTGTGAATGAGTTAGCTAATTATGGGGAGTACTCGGGTGCACCTAGTGAACAACAAACTTATGAGTATGCAAAAACCATCCTAAGTTTGATGACGAAAGAAAAACGAAAAGAGGGAAAAGTATTGATCATTGGAGGCGGTATCGCTAATTTTACAAATGTAGCTGCAACTTTTAAGGGTATTGTAAAAGCACTACAGGAATACCAGCCTAAACTTGTGGATCATAATGTACAGATATTTGTAAGAAGAGCAGGACCGAATTATCAAGAAGGTTTAAGGTATAAATGCATGCTATAGTTTTACTCATTATAGTATGGTATACTAATGAATGGTATTTTCGTTCTAGAATTATACGTGAAGTTGGTAGAAGGCTCAGTATTCCTGTTTATGTATTTGGTCCAGAAACTCATATGACAGCTATATGCGCGATGGCCTTAGGTAAAAAACCAATTCCAGATCCTGAAGCTCAAGAATTTTCAACTGCAAATTTTTTGCTACCTTCGGGACAAGATATGGGTCCTTCAGCTCCCTCTAAAAGTACTTCTTCTTCACCTACCAAACAATCCAGATTAAAAACAAGTGACTCTGTTGATGGATCGACACATAAACAGCTTTTCAGTAGTAAAACCAGAGCCATAATCTGGGGAATGCAAACTAGAGCTGTTCAGAGTATGCTAGATTTTGACTTCGTATGTCGTCGATCCGAACCATCCGTTGCTGCTATCGTATATCCTTTCACGGGTGATCACAAACAAAAATTTTATTGGGGTCATAAAGAGGTATAACTTAAAACCTATCTTCATTTTATTTAGTAAAGTTTGTTAGTATAATAATTTTTTTTATTTTCTGTTTCTTTTCTTCTTTTTTTATAACAGGTACTCATTCCGGTCTATAAACAAATGAGAGATGCTATGACTAAACATACAGATGCAGATGTTATGGTCACATTTGCATCTTTAAGATCTGCATACGAAAGTGCAGTGGAAACCATGCAATTTCCTCAAATCCGAACAATTGCTATTATTGCTGAAGGAATACCTGAGAATATGACGAGAAAATTAATTTTATTAGCGCAGCAAAAAGGTGTTACAATTATTGGTCCAGCTACTGTCGGAGGTGTTAAACCTGGTTGTTTTAAGATCGGTAATACCGGTGGAATGATGGATAATATTCTTCACAGCAAACTTTATAGACCTGGCAGGTACATCTGTCATTTACTAAAGAATGCATTTCCCAAACTATTAAGTAGCATCATTTCTTTTACTAAGGGATTATTATTTTCAGTGTTGCATATGTATCCCGCTCTGGTGGCATGTCTAACGAATTAAATAATATAATTTCCAAAGCTTCCAATGGAGTATTGGAAGGGGTTGCAATTGGTGGAGATCGTTATCCAGGAACAACATTTATGGATCATATTATGCGGTATCAAGAAAATCCTGAAGTAAAACTTATAGTTCTTCTTGGTGAGGTTGGTGGAGTAGAAGAGTATGATGTTTGTGAAGCACTAAAGACCAAAAAAATTACAAAACCATTAATTGCTTGGTGCATTGGTACCTGTGCCAGCATGTATAATTCTGAAGTACAATTTGGTCATGCTGGATCTATTGCTCATAGTGACTTAGAAACAGCTGCTGCTAAAAATGCTGCACTAAAAAAAGCTGGTGCTTATGTTCCTGACAGTTTTGATAGCTTAGGTGACCTAATGCAAACTGTTTATAGCAACCTTGTGAAAGAGGGAGCAATAGTGCCCGCACCGGAAGTTCCACCTCCAACTGTTCCCATGGATTATAATTGGGCTAGGGTGTGTTTAATTACTGTATTATCAAATTATATGTTAAGGTGTATACGTTAGTATCATAAAGAACTTAACTTTTGTAGGAACTTGGCCTAATACGAAAACCAGCATCATTTATGACGTCGATATGCGATGAACGTGGTCAAGAATTGTTATATGCTGGAATGCCTGTAACTGAAGTTCTGAAACAGAATGTAGGAATTGGTGGTGTAGTTTCATTATTATGGTTTCAACGGTGCTTACCACTAGTGTATTGTAAATTCCTTGAAATGTCTTTAATGTTGACGGCCGATCACGGCCCTGCTGTATCAGGAGCACACAATACTATTGTTTGTGCAAGAGCTGGGAAAGATTTAGTTAGTTCCCTTGTATCTGGACTTCTAACTATTGTAAGTAAAACAAATAAATTTTATGTCATATTATTCACTTTTTCCATGTGAGAATAATATTATTTAAAAATAATTTTAATTATAGGGTGACCGTTTTGGTGGAGCATTGGACGGTGCGGCTCGTATGTTTTCTGAAGCGTATGATGCTGGATTACATCCACAAGAGTTTGTAAATAATACACGTAAAAAGGGCAAACTCATCATGGGTATTGGTCATCGTATAAAATCCATAAATAATCCGGATATGCGGGTGAAACTCATCAAAGAATATGTAATAGAGAATTTCCCTGCCAGTCCATTAGTAGAATATGCATTAGAAGTTGAGAAAATAACTACAAGTAAGAAGCCTAATTTAATCTTGAACGTAGATGGTATAATTGCCTGTGCCTTTGTTGATATGTTGAGGAATAGTGGAAGTTTCATTAGAGAAGAAGCACAGGAATACATCGAAATTGGCGCTATAAATAGTTTATTTGTTCTTGGTAGGAGTATAGGTTTTATTGGTAGGTGTTTTTTCTTAACATGATGAATACTTGAATAATGAATTATTTGAATAATGTAATTATTTTATTATTGCAGGTCATTACATGGATCAGAAAAGGTTGAAACAAGGTTTATATCGACATCCTTGGGATGATATTTCTTATGTATTGCCAGAGCAATATAATTAAATTCATCTTCTAATACATAGTACATCGTGAATGCATAATAAATGTTACGTCTTCATTTAAAAAGTTTAGGTAGTTTTTATGGTTATGTCATACGTGTGTTGCTCATAGTTGTAAGAAACATATTAGTTATTAGAAAAAATATCGCGTATGTTTGATTTGATATTAAATGTTATATCAGTACATAATTGAAAATTCTTATATGATAAATTAGTTTTTTTTTGTCGCTGGTCGAAGTTCTATTGGATAAAAATACGATTGTAAGGATAAGTTAGCAGCAACTAACATTTAGGTAAATATGCGAAATAGTAAAAATTATTCTTACAATTAAACATTCCATAAAGCATTTGTAATATGGTCAGGAAACGGGATATAAATCGGAAATATTTTATAATGACAGATTAATCTGCAATATACTAATACATTATTTTTATAGTTATAATTCATGCAAAGTTGCACAAAATACAGTTTTTTCTGGTTTATGAAAGTATCATTATTACTTTATTTAGGAAACTTTCTTATGTATATATGCATAAGCATACATAAACACGTATACGTGTATATGGTTATACTCGCACATATTACATATGTGCATATGCTACATTAACAATTTTTTGCACAAATTACTTTATCATTTACATGTAATGAATGTCGGAAGTAATAAATATATGTAATATTTAAGTACTATCCTTCTCTTTTAATATTTTATTAAACATACATATGATGTAGGAAATTGTTTTGTATGAATATATTTATTAATAAGTATAGAACTTTAAAACACAAAGCTGGCAAACTTATTCAATTAGATTTAAAAAATGAAAGTTACATTTCAATTTTTTGAGAATGCTATAAAATAAGAAAAACAAGATCACATAATAGACTAACTTATCCTTTTCTGACATTAGTTTTAAAATTTTTTAATACATTTTGTTTATGTTAGTAAAATACATTTATGTATAGTTATAAAGTATTCTCATTTCATTCATAAGTGTATCATTCATAAAGAAAATCTTGAGATTCTGAATTATACAAAAATTTTGCTGTAAAAAAATTTATTATTCTTTAATAATTGGAAGATATTTTTATCTCAATCAAAATATGAGATATTTTTATTTATGAATTAAAAACTCTTCATTAGCAAAATAAAGCTAGACTTAAAGTGACTGATGTATTTTTTATACGAATTTCTAAATTGCAAAAATACTTTTCTTTACCCTAATTTAAATCTAATTTAAAAGGTAACTATTAAATTAAAAATGTTCGAATTAATTAATATTGGCGAGAAAAAATTTTGTTCGTGAAATTAACATTGTAAATGTAATAATTTTAACGTGGTAATTGATTTTACAAATGGAACAAATTAAAAATGTTTTACATGTTATTATAATTATAGGCTTTACCATCCGTTAAAAAGAACTATATAACAGCTTTCAACATCACCGAATGGTAAACATCCAGGCACACTTAAAAATATATAGGACTTTACTGAGCTTCTGGAATGTCATCTGCTGCCGTATTAATTATTCGCTCACGATCGTTTGTAGGTGGCCTATGACGGCCCAAACGATATCTACATTTTCTTACTAATTGAGGAATAACAACATTATTATAACAACACATTCCAATAAATAGAACGCTAAAACCGATGAGCTGAAAATAAGCATATGTTCATTTGTAATTTAAATTTTTTAGTTTCTAAAAAATATATTTGTATTATGCATAGTAAATGTTTTAAAAATGTTAAAATGAATCATTGAATTTACTTGTAAATAATGAAACTCCTGCCAACTAAATACTAAAGAAACAGCCCATATGATAATTGTTCGAATACTATCTAAAATCATTCTTGAGGTAGCATTCATTTCTTTAGTAACACTAATTCCAGCAAAGTTGAAGAAAGCTATACTGAATGATATACCTGTGCAAAAATTGGTTAAAAAATAACTTTACAATGAATAAGAATAGATATATTTATATATACTAACCAGTTATTGCCATTAATAAATGACCACTATTTCCAATCTGAATGAATGCATCTTTAGTTGCTTCAAGAGTTCCTCGAGAATTATCAGCAAATGGTGGTGGTGCGTGTATAAAATTAAGTGGAATCATTAGGATGCATATTATAATGAATCCAAATATACCTAAAGAAAATATATTTTTGTTAATTTATAGATAAATTTTTTGCATTAAATAAATATCAGGAAGTACCTTCCCAACCAACTGCTAATAATGCTGGTATATTTTGTTCCACTACAAATTTTTCTTCTACCACCATTTGAATTGCAGTTAGAACCTATGATAATAATTAATAGTTGATGCAAAATAGTTTCATTATAAAATTAAAATTATTTAAAATAATTAAAATAAATTTTTACTTGTGCGCATATGATAAGCAAATCACCAGTTAAAATAGAATTTTTATTGATATTTGACTTGTCCATAGTTATATCACTGAGCCCAACAAGAGCTAAACCAATTATAACCATCATTATACCAATCCATTCTCTACTACCTAGTTTTCTATTAAGAAAACCAACTGAGAGAACAGCTGTAAATACAATGACAGCACCACGAAACATTTGAAAACTACTTGGGTATGTCATAGTCAAGCCAACATACATGATAGAGGTAGCACATGTATCACATAATGCAGGAATTAATAGAATAAAAGAATTAAATACATGTGAGCCTTTAGTTAATGGATTATTGTCCACAGAACTGTCCTTTAATATAATAAATTTAATTTTAAATACTTTCTTTTTATTAGAAACATGTGTATGAAATGAAAAGGAACTTACACCTCTGCGATTATAATAATGATAAATAATTTTAAATACTACAAAACACATCATTTCACCAATAAACATGAAAGATGATTGCATAAAAGGATGATTGAAATGTCTAGGCTGACCATCTTCACCCGGGACCACTTGTCGATCTGCATATCTAAATTAAAAATATAAATTTAAGTAAATATAATTTGATGACTTAATAATTATGTTAATTTTACTTACTTTACAGATAAAGTATTAAAAGATCCAGTAATAACCATAAGCACAGCTATATTAATTTGATAATATGTCCATGCCATTTTTAAATATTTAAAAAAATTCTAGAAATAAAATATATATATTTATAAAAAATAATTATACTAAAATTGAAATAATACTTTAAGAATATTTATAACACTGATGGTATATACAATGTGAACTTTTATCTGAAATTCTAGATAACAAAAAATCTTGCTGCTTATTCTTAGTAATGATTAAATACTTTTGTTAATCTAATCATGAAATATTTAAGTGTTTCCAATAAATCAAATATTTTAATTTATGAATATTATATTAATTTATTTTCACATGACTGCCATATAATAACCAATTAATATTAAACACACAACAAAATTACAAAAAACAAAAGGCTTTTAAACTACTACTAGCTAAATAACTAATGCAATGATTATTCGAAAATTTTATATATGTGTGAATAAGGAGTAAGTGATTCATAGTTTATTGTTACAAAAATAAAATTTATATATGCTATATAAAAGACAAGTTGATATTTTTATTATTACAGCATTATTAACGAGCGTGAAAATTTAATAATTAATTAAAATCACATTATTTTATCCATGATAAGCAAAAAATAAAAATTGCAGAATTTCGAAACTAAAGAACGTAAAAATCATGTACGTCGGATGTTTTTTAACAAAAATATTATTACAGGTTTAAATACAAATAATACATGTTACAATATAAATAATATTTTTACGACATAGATTTATAAATGCACTATAACGAATATGACAGCAGTGCAAATTTTTAACTTTCTTAGGCGAAAGTTATAATATGAAGTTTGATTAAATAGATTTGTGATTAGAATAGAATTGGTCAGAATAGAATTCGTGATATTTTCAAACTATTATCACTATTACTATAAAGTATATATCTTTATTTCTGATAAATGAATAATAAATTCGAGTTCATTGCACGAAGATGGCGAAGACACGATAAATAAACATCACTTGCGAATAGATGTTTCTGTTACTAAAAGAATTTCAATATTAAAGGTTCTCAACTTCAAGGTTTCTATATATTACTTATTAAGCACATATGTACATTATATATCTATAGTACACTACTTTTTAAATGAAATTCCTAGAACAAAGTAGTTTCATAATACTAAAAAGAATAATTATATTCTTAATTAAATTCACTTTTATAATCTTAAATGTATTATAATATTTATAGCATTATTTTTGTACTAATTAAGATTTTGACCATTTTATTTATTTACTATATCATGTAAAGTATAATAGTAATATAATTTTTTCTTTTTTTTTTTTTTCGATAAATTATATACATATAGCTAAATTGAAAAAGCCGCCAAAAATAAATAAGGTCGATAGTTATCTTCAAAGTTTGTTGAAAATGGTACTTTATTCCAGTTAATACAAGCCTCAGTTATCTGTAAGTCACGAAAGGAATCAAGATTTTATTTACACACCCAATTTCTGAGTTGTAAAACGTAGAAAGTATGTAAGTGTTAGAAGTTACATTTGCTGTTGAAAGCAATGGATGATAAAATCTTGTGCGTATTTTAAATTACCAGCGGATAAAAAAACATGGAAAAAAAATAAAAAATATTTTATGTTGCACAAATACAAAAAATTTAATACGGAAGCATAATGTCATCATTAAGTAGTAATAAAAGGTTATCCGAAGTTTTGGAACTATTTCTATTACCAAACTATAATATTGTGTCTACTACTTATCTTGATCTTTTATTGTCTCACATTTCTGAAGATATTAAACAATGTAAGACAATTTTAAATACTATATCATAATATATAAAGAAATTATTATAAAATTATTATTCTATTGTATTTTATTATATCTATTTATAATGTATATTTTATTATACATCTTATTTAATTTCAGGCGATACAAATAATTATGAGAACTGCGAATTGTTTCAAAAATGGGTGTTAAAGGCATTGAATGTTTGGAACTTTGAATGTGTTCCTTCACAGCCTATAATTATATTTACTTTAAAACTTGTGGGAATAGTTTCACACAATGAATTAAGATTTCATTATTGGCAATTTAAAGACGTGTTTAATAAATTGTGTGTTATTTTTAATCTACGTAAAGATGATTTACCAGTATCTATTAAAATGGCTTATATCACAATGTTATCTGATTTAATTAAACATAGAAGTGGCAGACAATGGGTTATAGATTCTAGTAAGTAATATAATTTCTAATATATATATATGTACGTATAATAATAAAATTTGTATTTTATAGATGTTTGGAAAGATGTTGTTAAATATGCTCATTGGAATCATACTTTATATGTTACCCATGAAAGTCACAAATTTTTGTGGTTTTTGCTTTTACATGAACAACAAAATATTAACTTTTGTAAAGAAGTTATTTTAACAGTAGCTGCACCATTGATAACTAATACTTTTGAGACACAAGTATATCAAGTTTTGCAAGATAATTATCTGGAACAAAATAAATTATTGTGTTCTACTCTAGATTTATTAACTAATATCATTGAAAATACATTGTTTGCAAACATGGATAATATGGTATCTGAATTATGTCAGGAAATTATTGATTTAGAAATGAGGGTGAAAGCTCTGTTTGAAGCATGTATTAGTACAAAACTTCTATCACATATTCATAAATTATTAATTCTATGTTTATTCATTCCACTTAAACGATTTATTAGAGAAGGAAAAAAAGTAGATGTTGAAACATCGCAAAAGTTCTGCTGTGATTTAAATTATATATCTCTGATGCTTCTTTCAAAAGTATATATAATAGAACTGGTAAAGACAAATAAACTTTTAATGATATATTGGAAAAGGTTACAGTCATTACATGAATTTATTCTCAGTGGAGAACATAAGTTTGAACATCAAGTTATAACTATAATGGTAAGTATTTTTCAATTTACATTTATATAATTATCAATAATTCAAATACATCTTTTCAAATATCCAAACAGATTATACCTTTGGGTTTATGTATCAGACATACATATAGAGATTGTGATCTTTTTGATATGTTTGTTACTAAAATGTTTGATGTAACATGTATAGCTGTACAAAGATTGGCTTATAATATAAGAGATGTTGTACTTAAAAATGATGTACCTATAGCACAGATTTCAAAAGTAGTTATTGACATGCTTTTAGAAATAATAGATATCATGGATAGGGTATGTATAATAACACTTTTTTATAATTATTTCAAATTATTGTGAGCAAATTGTCTGCAGTTACATTTAATGGTTTTCTCTATATATGTGTGTATATATATATATATATATATGTATCTCATATCAGGATATTGCAGTTATTGTTTTTCAATCCCTGTGTCATGTACTAAAAAATTGTATGCCAGATACATGCAATAAAACTACAGATGATATAAGTAACAAAACAAACTTGGACAGGGGACCAAGAAAATCAATGTTTAAGTGTCCCTTAGAAGGAGATCCTATAGTCAATCATCCAGCATTGTTATCATCACTCCTAAATGGTTTAGCAGTTATGACAGAGAAATTCAAGTTAAAATGGCAAGAATGTGTGGAAACTATATGTTTGTTATCACTAGCACAAGAAATTTTAAATCATCCTGGAACATTGCCTATGGTATATTATAGAAATACCACAAAGTTATTTGTAATTCGTACATTACAAAATTTTGTTTTTAGATTTGTGTGAAAGCCTTAAAAGTGTGTAAGTTAGCAATTCAAAATTTCATGCCACCAAATTTAGTACTATTAATTGAAACAGATAGTCATATGAATGAAATTGGACCAACATTTTTTAAAAGATTACATGATGTAAATTGGGAAGTAAGAGATAGTGTACTTGAGGTTTTAAATACTATAGCTGTAATTTCAGAAGACAGTAAGTAATTATTTATAAGGATAGTTGTTATAATATATATAATATGTAAATAAATATTTACAGAATATCCAGCGTTCCAAGAATTTTTATTGGCAAATGAATTTTTACAACTAGCGATTGAAATTGCTAAAAGTGATAATGAAAGCTATGTTCGAGCATCTGCTTTAATTTTTATTTCAACTACCGTACGGATAAATAAATTGTGGGATGAAAAATTATCATATTTTGATTTATCGGTATGTATTGTTAAAAAGTATGTAAAATTTAACTAATATTTAGAAATAAAATAATATTTTTTAATTGTAGAATACAGCAATAATATTGTTTAATAATGAGAGTGAAGCTATAGTCAGAAAGGAAGCTTTAATTTTAATAAAAGAATTATATGTACACCATAAATGGCCGTAAGCAATATTATGTAACATTACTCTTATCTGTTATTTCAATGTCGTTAATAATGTAGTTATTGTTTAGGAGAAATATTATTGATTCTATGACACTAACGATGGCAACAGCTGCTGTGCTTGATCTTCATTGGGAAGTAAAGATAAGTGCTCTTGAATATTGGAAACATGTTATAAAATCGCATTTGTCTGATCAAGGTGTACTCGATGGTCATTTCCCAAAAGTAACGTTTTCAAAAGAACATAGAAAGATTGTATCTTTAAATGAAACTGAAATAAAACGAAGGCTTAATAAAGCATTAGATGAACTAGCAAAACAAAATTGTTTAGGAGTAAGTAAATTCATATGATATATATGTTTATTAGTAAGTTATATTTTTCATTACATTTTAGGTTCTTTTGGTTACTCTAGAAGATAGCGATTTTGAAGTATGCAAAACATCGGCCACTATAATAAATAAATTAAAAACATTCCTCTTGAAGTACAAACTCAATGAACCTTTGCCAGCATTACCTCTACCTAAAGATAGTGCCACGTTAGATACCTCTTATGTTAAATATGATCCACCAGATAATGTTGCAAGTTCTAATTATGAGGCACTTAGTAATTCTCGTAATGTAATCGAAGAAATTGTGGATGCTAATGATGCAAATTTGCTTGCGTCTATTTACAAAAATTCAATGAAAGTTGACAGCAAAACGCAAAAATCGTTGGAGAAAACATTTCAATATATTTCTTGTGTAACTAGGCAAATTTTTCTTCAAACAATTTTTAACTTAGATATCGATACTTACATTGGAGAGAAAAGTCGGTGGTTGACTACATATACTACCAGTTTTGAATCAGTGTTGGATGATATATTAACAATGTATAAACAAGGAAATGTGAATTCAATGGACTGCTACTAATTATAAATAATGTGCCTTATACATTGCACACAAAAACAATTCAAATTTTAATTCTATATGAGTGCTAGTATGGTATGCAGTTTTTTGTTTTTACATTGCTATTAAAATTAAACTTTTATGAACATTTATAAACCTGTTTTTTTAGAAGCAAGATTATACTATAACTTTTGTAATTAAAGTAAGATTTTATTAGAAGTACATGTATTCAACATTAAAATATTTTACATTTCTCTTTCTGATAGAATTTGAACAATGAAAATAGAATAAAATATTATTTCTTTATGCAGATAATATAGAATAAAATGAATTAATACTTATGTATTTAGCATAAAGAAACATATTAAAACTGTTATATAAATCGTTTATGTTCATTTATATAAAACATTGTTTTTGTTTATAAAAAAAAAATAAAAGTTTTTTATCTATAATTGTGTTACATATAAATTTAAATCTCAGAAATAATAAACTTAATTTAAGAGACTAATTACAATCTATCATAATATAAAAAAAAAATTAGTTGTATTTTTTGTACTTAATTCAGTCTCTATACTTTTTTACATAACTAAACACAATATATATTTTATTCAAAAAAAATTTTCAATATCAATTTCTACTGATTCAGGATAAACATCATTTTTTTTAACAGACATTTCTTCATCATCGTTTATAGTAATAATAGAATTCCAAGAAAAATTGTTGCATGGTGAATAAGGCATTAAAACTTTATTATCTTTGTTATTAATACTAATTAATTGTAATGTTGTGATCTCATCATTTCTAGTGTCTTCTGGTTCATTTTTTATTTCAGATATAAGAAATCCATTATTAAAATTTGTATTAGCATTTGAATCTTTGGTATTCACAAAAGAAGATGTTACTGTTTGGCAGGATTCAATACTTAGTTGTGTTACAGTTTTATCCTCTAAACCTACAATATTTTCAATATGTTGCATGATATTTCTTGTATTCGTCTTTTCCATGCTTATTTTATCTTTTTTCTTTCTTCCTCTATGTTTCCTTTTACTTAAATCATTACAAAGACCTTCAATGATATTTAAAAATTCTTCATCATTTATCTCTTTTCTTTTATTTAATTCATGCTCCCAGGCAATAAACTGACTGCAATTTATTGAACAAGTTGTGTTATCATGACTAAATTTTCTTGATGAATGAATTACTTGTTTATTTTTGTATATACTATTGTTTTGTTGTTTAGGTTTAGTAAAAATATGGTTATATATATTTTCATTATTATTGTCATCGCCTAAAGTTATAGGTTTCAAATATTTTTTTTTGATATATTTTATATTGTCTAATACTTTAAAGCCTTGGAGATTAATGATAGTTTGCGATAGTTCTTCTAAATTGTGATGTTGAATATGATGATTATGTAAATCCATAATAGATGTATTAGCATGTTGGCACATTGTACAGTGATAAAATACAGACATCATTGATGTTTTGTAAGTTATATCTTCATAAATATGATAAATGCAAATTTTACGTAAAATTTTAAGAATAATATATTTAGAGCGTAATATAATAAAACTCTTCACTACCTATTAATGATATTAATACTTTAAATACTTTTAAATAGAGTAAAAAAAAAAATAATACAATTGGAGATTTACCTTTAAAAGATCGAGCTTGTGAGGTTATATAAATATTTAAAAAAGGAGATTGAGAAAAATTCAGGTAATAATATTTGATCACGCATAAATATAAAAATTATCGTACAATAAAACTTTTTAAATTAAAATTACACAATAATTAAATATATTTATTGTATTTTTCGTAACATAGTCTATTGGACATGGTTTTTATACGTTGTCCACGTGAGATGCGTAAATATATATCGATATTGACATGTGTAAAATCAAATTTATCTATGTACGTAAAATGTCATCATAACATTTAATACGTAATGTATATGTTTACATTAAAAATTATTTTAATTACTTTCTGTTGTGATTTTTTTTAAAAGAAACATTTTTAATATTTTATATATCTGAATTAATAATTGAAATTGATATTGCAAGCTTTATATAATATAACTTTGTATATACGATAAGAAGTAAAGTACAATAAATTACATTTTCTTAGGATATGACTAATAACAAAGGAAAGTAATTACATTATTTATCTTTCGATCATTATATAAGACAAAGCGTAATTTCTTTTAACACGACAATTGATGGTGTTGCAATAAAAGAAAGTATTACGTAGCACGTATTGATGATGGTTTATAAATAAAAAAAAATGCAAAACTTAAGTAGCTGTCGGTTAAATTTAGATTCTAACAAGCCGACTGTTGCGTGCATTGAAACCTGCATCAAAAATATCGGGAAATTCGAGATAAATCGGTGATGATTCGCGTTGTGGTTGGCCGACAATCGAAAACAGGCCAATAAGCATGCGTTTCGCGCCGAAAAAATACGATTAACGGGATAGCGCACGCATGCGCGTTCTTTGATTATTTTCGCCATGATTCGGCGCGAGCTTTCAGTCACGCGCAACACTTCGTAGGGGAGTTATACGAAGGATCGTTTCGTGACTGTCGTGGGAAGGACCGTCTTTCGAGTTAAATTTGGTACACCGTGTCGGCTAAAAGGCAATAAGTGCAACGTTCGAATTGTATATGAAACGCTTGTGCGCGAGTACACGCAGCTATGTCTTTCTACTTTCGCGACCGACCGAAATTTGGCGATAGACTGCGTGGTAAATCCGGCGATGAACTTTTACAAGAAATTAAACAACAATTCGATGAAGATAGCAAGTCTTTCTTTGAACCCACTAATAGATCGGGACGGGATCCCTTTGAACGACATTCCGGCTTCTCAAGAGTAAGTTCGCCTTTATTTTACACACATTTGTATAAAAATTGAGTTGCACATATTATAGGAATACAATTATTATTAAAAATTAACTTTTTCAAATGATTGTTTCTTTGTTAAGTTAAGTTAAGTTAAATTAAGATCTAACTATAGTTTTTCCTTATCGTATACTTCTAGAATTTTTCTTTTTTAAGTTGTTAAACTTTAGTAGATAAGGTAAGTAATAAAAGTAATTCATAGTAGTAATGTTGAATACTTTTTTTTAATTGTCTTTTATGTTCATTCAGAGTCTTCACTATGATATTAAAAAATTTGATCTTTCTTGCACAATTTGAATATTGAACGAAAATTCTTTATTTATAGACTGGCCTAATTTCTACGTCGTTTCACCGGCATGTATTTAGTTTTCTCTGCTTGCCGGTTATTCTTGTCGCAATGCCGATATTTTCAGAGTGTAAAGAAATAAAAAAAACTGTTGTGTTTGTTGGTTACTTGGTGAAGTACGCCGTGATATACAAAAATGTGGAAAAATGCAGGCTCATAATAAGTTCATAGATACTCGAACATTTTCTAATAGATAATTTTTGGAATAGTCTTATTTTCGAAATCGTGTAGTAATTAGTTGAAAACGCGTTTAATATCCATATTAATATCTTTCTTTATTTGCCTATAGTACTTTATTATCTAATTTCATGTAATTTATAGTTTTCCTACCCTTGTTTCAATATTGTAAAAACTCACTATTTATTATATCGAGTCACCTGTTCCGCATTGTCAACGAGCCAATTATCATAGTTCATGGCGATCTCGTGATCGTTACAACTGTATCGATATCGTGATACGATACAGTTGTAACGATCACGAATTTTCAATTATCTTATCATAATCCTTTCTACACACTGTATATTATTTCGTTTAAATTAGCATTGGAATACATGACAACAATTTTTTATCTTAAGTAGCATTTCATCTCTTTCGACGCTTCTACGTTCTTATACTTCGTAACATACTTCGTTTCGAACTGTGACCTTACCTTCATGTAAACACGTCTGGTTAACGATCGTTTATTTCTGTAATAATAGCGATAGTTCCATTAAATGTCTCAGTAAAATATCAACATTTGTTATTATCTTACAACAAAATATCAGTTTATAAGAATGTTGAATGATACAAAAATTTTATCTAAGAAAATAAAGAAAATTATTATAAAAACGATAGAATTCTACGGCAATAATGTATTCTAGTAGTAAGAATGGCCTATATACATGGCCATTATAACATGTAATCCAAAGATATGTATTTTATGTGCACATATTTATTTTGATAAATTTTTAATAGAAATTTTAACTTCTAAAATACGTTCGATCGATATCTATTCAAACATGCAGTAAATACAGTTATCTACCGTCGATATCGATCTACGCGAATAGAAGGAAAGCCCTAAAAAATTACGAAGATTTATTATAGTGCGCCACCTGCTAGTTGTTTTGAGCGAAATAGAAGGGACAAGTTGTATGAATCGCATATATAAATTTGTTGGTAAAAATTGTCTATTTCCCGAGCAGTGAAGTGCATTTATCGCCATTTCTCTCATAGTAACGATAAGAAACAAGAATTCTAATGGTCTTTCTTCATAATTTTGTTTCATTTTTACTGCCTTACAAAGATTTGCTATAACTCACTAGAAAGCAATAGAAAATATCGATTGAATATATCGAATTACTTATATTTTTCACCGCTGATTAAGTGGCGCCATTAACTGTTAAAATCTTTAGGTTAGAACTGTTTCGCAATCAATGAAAATGTTAGAAATGTTTATATTTAGTTTCAGAGAGTTTTGAGGTACTGTTTGTATTAAAGTTATCGAATTAATATAAAATTACCTAAAAGAAGTGAAAGAAAAAGAAGAAGCGATGATTCAAGCCGAATTGGCCGTGGGTTTCCAATCTTTTTCGTACGTCTTCGTTTCATTTGACTTCGATTGCCATTTTGGTGCATAGTGAACGAAATAAAATCGAGAAATCGAACTGTCTTCTAAAAGAAAAATTGATGGTATTAACGGGACTGTTGATTTATTACAATGATGGAAATTTTTGTTGCTGATGGTTATAAAAGAGTCTTCATTCGAATGTGAATTATAGTGACAATATAATGATAATTACTCGCCGAAGAATATTTTCTTCATTATCATAGTAAATAGAAACATATACGTTCTTCTAGAATTTCTGATTTATTTCGATAAAATGGGGAAGCGATATCTTCAAGTTATTTGGCAAACGATGGATCTATACTATTTCGCAAAAAAGAAATATTTTTCTATCTATGTTTATTGATATATGATAAGGTAATATATTTGTTTCCGTGAGAAATTTTTCTTACATTTAAGTGATAAATTTGTCGACCATCTTATATTTTATTAATTATATCTTATTGTATTAATTTATTTTAAAAATGCAAAACTAAATATTTGTAAAGAAGATTTACTCAAAATAGAATTTGAAAGAAAGTGAAAACTGCTTTTTATAAAGACTAACAGTATATTTTTTCTAAAGATGTGCTAGACCAATGTTCCAGGTAGTATAGCCTTACACATCTTTCTGTATATTAAGAAGAAAAAATTCATAAAACACAAACTATATAATTCATTATAAAAAATAAAACAAATACAATCAGGCAAATTCCATGATAGTGAAATTGGAGCATTATAATTTAAGGTAAAATCAGTAATCTGCTAAATGTGCATCCAATGTCTTCACATCTTGTATTATCCAAAAAGGATCCACTCGAGCCCATTCGTGTCCCTTGGAAGGGTGTACTCTGCTCGTAGGAGTATACAGAGCCAGCAGGCTATTAAAACCACCCCAATTGCATTAAACGCCCCTTTCGATGGGAAGAGGGAGATGACGTGCCGATTTACGAGTCGAAATGAGATCAATATGGTATATGTTCAGTAAATTTTACAATTCTACAAAGTAATCCCTGCACCGAGGTAATATCGTTAGCTTTTCAGAAGCACAGACAGACTCGGCAAAGGACCCAGAAATAACGTGTTTGTTGCCAAACGCCTGCCGGGGAAATGACTTACCACTTACTCGCCTCGCTATGGACCCTTCTCTGTTTTCGACGATAAAACGTTTCATTGATCGATTGATAAGATCGTTCCGGTGGAGAATGCACTTCTTTTAATACAAAGATGCATTTCATTTGTGTTTCTTGCTTTCAATTTTCTTTGAACAACGAGTTTAACACTGGTTAAGGTAATTTTCTTTGAGATTTTTTTTTTTTGAGTTTTTAAAACGAATAGTTCAGCGAGTATGAAATTAAATTAAGAAGAAAAAAATTAGGTTTCAAGAATGGAGAGATAAGTTTGAAATACTTTATTATTTTTAAAAATTAGGATTTAATTTTATAACTAAAAGGCTATGGTTTTTAAACATAAATTATTTTAGATTGATGCCTGATTGTATAAAAATTTCTTTATATTGATACGGATACTATAAAGAATAAATAAGGGGAAAAAGAAAAAAATAATTTTACGATACTTGCAACAAAATTTCTTGTAAATGAATACAATACTTAGAACTATATTCAACACTGACAACACAAAGGAATGAGAGGAAAAACAATAGATTAATTTTAGAATTCTGGGAAGCTTTTATAATCATAGGATCAAGGTACAATTAAAAAATCTTTAATGCGATAACCTTCGGTCAAACGATTTGCACGAGATATAACGGGTGCGTGGAAAGTGTCACGGATCGAATGGACAGATTATTTTAGCTCGAACGATTCTTGGTTTGGAATGGCGAGAAGGAATCAATGGCGGCTATTTTGAGAGGTCTCGGCGTCGGCGACGTCGTCGTCGAGAACGTTCCTACGTCTTCGAACATGCCGATGGTGTTCGAAGATTGCGAACACTCTTCCACAAGATGCATTTCACGTAATAAGAAACGAAAAAATTTCTAAAATCAATCGCCTCTTAATACAAATTTTTCCTTTTAAAATAATATTTGTTTCAATTTTGATAAGAGAATAGCCTTTTTTTCTTTTTTTATATATATATATAATAAGAAACTTTTGAAGTATTCTATTTTATAATTTATTTTTTAATAAATATATTTCTCGTCTTTAAAAAACAAATTTTTAAATTACGAAAAAGATTAGTGTTGAGTTTAATAATATCGATTTTTAATACAAATTCTTTGCCATAGGTAAAATTTCCAAAGTACAACGAATCGTCGTTTCTAATGTAGAATATAGCCATCAGTCTAGTCCTTGCATCAATATTTACCTTGGAGAGATTGCTGCTGTCACTGGCCGATTTTCCCCCATTTTTTTGCGGTTTCCATTCACTCCTCCTCCGCGAATATCGACATGAAAAATGTTATAAGAGCAGAGATATTCCTAGAGGGTGAAAGTATAGCAAGGACATATTTTATCGATTCTGATGATAACTCTGGTCATTTCTTTTCTACGATGATTTTCAGTTCCATGAACAAATTCAGGAACAACATGAACGTCTTTTTTTCTGTTCCAGCATTTTATAACTGAAAAGCGTTTCACATTATCTTAATGTTCTCTCAATTGTTATTTACCTGCTTCTTTCTTTCACGATATTATACTTACAGTAGGTTCCTTCTTCTGTGTTCAATGGTTTAGTAAAAATAAATACCGTACTTTCTTATCGCAATGAAAGTCTTCGCTATTAATGATATTACAAGTAGCAGAGTATGCGACGAAGTTTACCGTTAATTTCGGGAATAGGAACTTCCTTCAGGTTTCCCTGCCGATGACCCACTGCAATTTTCATGCGATGAGTCACGAAGTCATTGAGATTCATCGCGTGTGGAAAGGAACGTCTTAAAAAGTGCTCTCTTTCTCTGTTCTGAGAACCACGTCCCGGACCCTTGATTATCCCTCCTTCTTTCCCTGGTAAACGTCATTCATGAAGCAGCATTCCTATCCGCTTCATAGTCTGTTCTGCGAATTGTTCGAAGGGAAAGGGTCAT